CATCCGCGCCGGGCCACGGATCTGTCGGCATCAAAACTTTTGCCCTCTTTAAGTGCTTGCATTATGTATAGATTAGGGCCAACTGCGGGAGCGGGAAAAGATGCGAAGGGACTTGAAAAATGGATCAAGCTTTCGGATTTTGCCCATCTCCTACCTCCCATTTCGTCAGCCGCCTCTTGGCCATCTATTTCATGCCCGCTGTGCTGGCCCGAGCGCAGCCAAAACCGTTTAGTCTCTCATTCATCTCAGGCCGTGGCGATCTCCCTTGCTCGTCGTACCTGGATTCTGAAGGCATTCGCAGTGGGCCCCTTCCCTCTTCCAGCCCGTCCTCACTTACACGGTATTAACGAGCATTCTGCGTATGGCTGGGGAAAACTGGGGCAGAGAATGAGCCTGAGCTTGTCTTTAATGGCCCCGCTACTCCCCCCGGGTAGGTTAATTCGTCCGATCAATTGGCAAATCACAACCCCGGACTTTGATTACGTGCTGAAACAGTGTTTTGAGGCCCCGCACTTGGAGTCGGCCGCTTCCCGTCGTCGTGGATTTTCTCAAACACAAAAGTTGCGACGAAGAGATGATGCTTACTGGCCCAGCCGCCGGCAGAATTATTTGGTGTTTCTTGTTTCTTCTTGTCTCATTAATCTCGTCTGCTTGACCGAATACATGCCATCCGCTGCTCAACAATAAATTGAAGCACGTGCATGTATCGGGATAGCCGGTGACTGTCGGCCCACAGCGTCAATGTGATGAAGCTTGATGCGGGTTGAAGCCCGAGAGGCGAGGGTTAGCGCGGCGTCGGAAAGGTCCAGGATTTCGTTAGCTGGCGGGCCGTTGTAACAGCCAGCCCCAAGCGACCGCAACTCCACGAGGGGAGCAAGAACGAACGTTCTGGCCCGGGGTTCGAACGGTTGAAGCAGCCGGGCACCGAGCACTGGGACCCTAGCCTATAACGCTAGGGCTAAGGAGGGGACCCCTGAGGATCTCAGAGAGATCGCGGCTTCCCTGGCAGATCCCCAGCCGAATTTCCCTCTCAGGGGGTGTGGGGGGCTGGCAGTGTATTGGCGGGACATCGGCTAAGACCACAGGTTTCGGGGCACCTCTCATGGCAAGCATGGACAAGGGCCCGACTTAAAGCTCCAGAAGGGCGGGAGTCGTGTTGATCGTTGGTCTCGTCATTTTCGACGTGCTGACTGTTGGCTGCAAGCTCCCAGTTTTTCCAAGAGTTAAATAGATGAAAAAGATGGAGGAAGGAAGCCGTTGCATACATCTTCCCGTCCGCCCGCCCGCCCCGTCTGCGTCTGCGAGGAGTCGAACGAAAGGACTTCCTAGGTAGGCAGATAGTTCCGCGGCAATTCAACGAGTCGGTTCGTGGCACAGCACCTACTCAAGTGCACTAAAAATGCACAAGTCCAGTTCCGGCCGGCACCGTAGCCTCTGAGTTCAGACCACGAGTTCGGACGAACCTGCGAGGTGGTCAGTGTTGCCTGTCCATCTTAGTCAAAAGTGCATGCAGGTCTGGCGAATTCAGACACGGCCAAGTTCCCTGGCTGCTTTGGGGTGAAGTGGACTCGCGAAGGACCTCGCGGTTCCTGCATCTCCTGTATGCCCAGTTCACATATCCGGGTTTGGAGAACCCACTGAGAATAGAGGAGCTTTGGGTGAATCGATTGCCGTGACGAGCGGCAGTTGCAAAGGCAAGCCGCTGCCCCAAGGACAATTCATGTTTGGACAGGTAACAAGACCGGGGCTCCGAACCCGGGTCTGCTCCCCTCACAACTCCGCACCCAAAGCCTCCGATAGTGGGCGATAACGACACCCTTTTCGTTAATCACGCCTGTGAAGGATGCTCACGGACGTTTTTGTCTCTGTAGAATAGGAATAGGCATGGCGGGATTCTGAGCCCAAGGCCCGATCTCACCGCCCAAATAGTGAGTAGCCAGTGGCCGGGGGATGATTGCCAGAGAGTTATAAAAGGGAATCTCCTGCAGGCGGGCATGGGAAATGCTACATACCAATGCGGGTGCAAGCTCGATGGCAACGCTGTGGGATAGCGAGAACCGGGTGACAGATGTCGATCACTCTGCAGCTGGTTTGCGTCCATATTGAGTCCGCTTTACGCTATCCCGTATATTCTACCCTCGACGAGAGCTTATCCCACACATCGAGTGCGGGCCAAGTGCAGGTCAGGAGCCGATTATCACTCTGCGTAATGAACCACTAAAGATATAGCGCTGTGACCATCTCGCGCGATGCGATAGCTTCACATTGCATGGCATAAAAGCCGTTTGTGATCAGAAGATCAGACGAACTGCCAAGCTTGGCCGGAGCACTTGCGGCCTGGAAATCCAGCCCTAGTTCGGAAGTATTGTTGATGGTGATGTGGACCACTTGGAACGGGCACTTGCAGGGTTCTAAGGAAGACTGACTTCTCTGTTGAAGGCCACCTCATTCGAAGGAAAGCCGTAGATAGAAAGGGTAGAAGGGAAGGGACAATGTGGCGGGGGTAAAAGCCAGTGGCATATCCATGTTTCCCACCGGCTGCAGTCGTTGCATTCGGCAGTTTGCCAAACTAAAAGAGTCGGGACAGGCCGTTTGTTACCATAAGCATATTGCGCCAATCAAGGATCTTATCCAATGATCTTGGTTGCCGATGCTGAACAAGCCACAAACATTTTCCCCGGGTATGCTTCGCTTGATGGCCAACACAGTGACTGAGTTGTTGTAGAAATTTTCGTTCATTCGTTTATCTCTATCTGTCCCTGTTTGATGAAGATAGAGTGGTGTCGAGGACAAGCAGACATGGTTTGGAAGCCGCGGATATGTGACTGGGAAACAGCTCTGCCTGAGAAGCCTGCAGAAGCAAGGATTTAAGTAGCTCGCCAAGACCCGATGCCTAGACGATGTGAAAGGGGGAAGTCTAAATTGTATGTTTTTGGGTGCTGTGTAACGTCATGATGCTGGAACCAAGCCTGGAGGTTGATGTTGTCTGGGCTGTGTCGTGAGAGAAGGCCATGCAATACTCTCTCTCGCCAGACTGGAAACGAGGTCGAAAGAGACATAAACACACCAACTTGGGAATCTTTCTGCAAGCTTGGTGACATCGCATTTCTGCGCTATACTGCTTCGGATTTGGACTGACCGCATTTGGGGCGTAAACAGCAGCACCGGGTTATCCGACGGCGCACTGACCTTCGTGTTCGTAGCTTTGGGAAGATGCTGAGCATGCTCGACACTCGATTACTCGGCTTGAGACTCAATGGACCACAGGTACAGCGAGAGTGATGAGAAAAGAGGGAGCAAAAGGGGAGCGAGCACTGCGGCGGACACATATGCCCGACAGCTGTCCTGGTCACGTCGGTTCAGTGTTCAGTCCTCGCAGGTCGAGGCAGGTAACCTTGACGTCCCAGAACCGGTGAAGCCGGCCAGAGGCAGCAAGTCCTGATGAAGATCAAGAATAGGGCCGTGAGATGGCCAGTTGACCAAGTTTTGGAGCCATGTCGTGATAGTTGGAGTGGCGACCTCGAGGACCGAGAACCCAGCACCCAGAACTCAGGGATTTCGACGTTGAAGGCGACGCCGCAGCGCAGCGCCCCGGCGACGAGACAAGGTTCGAGTACGGCAATGTCTCGGAAGCCTCCCGACGGAAACGTGACGAGGCGACTCATCACACACCTGCCGTTTTCGTCGCTGCACCCTATTCACAGACTTACATAGTATCTGTAGGTGTGGACCTTGCGGTGAAGAAAAGGGACTTGGATCTTTCTTATCTTGGTGAGGAAACGTGGACAGGAATTGTGGGCACGCAACCAAAAGACAATCTTGACCTGATGAGGTGGATCTGCCCGCGGGCTACTGCGTAGAGCTTCTAGCTGAGTAAGGGCAATTCAAGTTGGTTCGAAGCAACCTCCTAGGCTTCCTTTGCGAAGGTGCGAGGAAGTAGCGTTGGTGGTTAGACTTTCACGTTGTCAGTGCGAGCCTGGAATTCCGCACTCCGCAAGGTGCTACCTAGGAGCAATTACCCCTCACCCATCGATCAAATCATTCCTGCCATTTTAGGGCAGCATGATGTGGCCAATTCTTGCTTTCTTTTTCCTTCTTTTACGCGAGACTTAAAGCATCTCGACGAAATTTTCCCAACTACCTAGCGCAGCCCGAGTCACGAGACCGTTGACAAGTTATTCTTTTCTTCTATCTTTGCCACTTGCGTTATGCCTTCAACCCGGCATAGCGGGGAGATCCATTGTCTGTCAATGCGCTGAAGAGAAGCCCAGGTTTTGTGGGGAAGTCCTCCATGTCGCCCAGACCTCGATCCGTACTGCATACTGCAGTGTACCTACCTACGGAATACACTTACCCACGCTATGGTAAAGGAAGATTCTCCACTGGCAGGCTTGTTCCCGCCCAAGAGCAATGCTCGAGGCGACGCAACCTCGGTCATGCAACCACTTTGGAACACTTGAAGTTGGTAATTTATTAACAGAAAATGTCGCCACGCCACCAGTGTTGTAGCCACGGCCACCGGAAAGAGATTCGGCGCAGTATACTCGGCGTTCGGATCTCGCCGGCCATTTCCGCTGCCGGGTGCTTGACTCGGCTCCTGGCAGTTCTCAGGGAGATGCCAGGCTAGGCAGCCCAGAACATGGCAAGATCGATGACGGAGAGTTTCCATTGTGCAGGCTCCCCCATGTCTCGCCGTCGTCACTGTCACCAAACAGGCTGTTTCAGTACCTGAACTGAAGTGCAGACATACTTCAGGTAGGCGGTTATTCGGTCCAGTCACTTCACTAACCCACCAGAACTGGCAGAACAATGGCGGCTCCGATTCGCTCTCCAGTTTGCCTCCGCTCTGCTGGCCAATGGGCTAGGGAACGGCAGCGGCATCACCAAATCGCCACGTCCGTGCGAGCGGCCCGTTAGATAATCACCCGCAAAGGCCCAGCCCCCAGCAGCAGCGTAGCGCAGCACAGCACAGCACAGCACAGCACAGCACAGCGCCGACCTGTCCCCTTTCCCTTCTGTTGTGCTCCTGAGCACCACGCAATCGCATTGAGTGAGGCGATGTGACTGCCCCGGACCGTGATGCTACCGCCGGGACCTCGGAGCCTGCGCAGAGCGGCCAGCAATACCCGCAACGCTAGCGCTATAGTGGCCCAAGACTACGAGGACGAGCAGCGAGAGGCGGCACCATGCAAGGAGACGGCAGCCGTTGGTCAAGAGATCCAATGCCGCCCCAGCACCGAGACCTCGTGGCCGTCTTGGTGTCTGATCATGGCTTGATGCTGAGAAAGGGTCTGGCCCGCCGTTGAAGCTCTCGAGCCTTTCATCTGCCCAATGCGGGGCAATAAGGTCTATTCTAGGCTTCATTTCAGACTACATACTAGTGCAAGTCCAAGTCCAGAGGCAACATGGAGCTTCGAATCCACATTTGCAGCGAAGGTGCTGTTTGGCCTCGACGGCCCCCTCGGCCCTGTAAATGGCCCATACGGAGTACTGAGAATCTGTATCAACACTTGGCCGAGACCAGAAGGCACAGCATATTCTCCGCTGGCCTTGACAGACGACCTGGAAGTTGCTGCTTGGCCTCGGCGGCGGAACAGAGCTAAAGTCGACGCCGCTGTCACGAACGCCGTACCCAGAAATGCCCTCGGGAGCTATCACCTGGCTTGCCTCCATGATGATCGTGCTGCTGGCTGGTTCGCGGCACTTTTGGCAAATATTGGTCCGCCTCTGCTTCTGCCGCCTCCCCATTTCGACGTTTTGAGCTCTCGCCATCTCCTCTTCCCGTCCCTTTCGCTCTCGCTCGAGCATTCTAGCCCGTCGAAACGAAAAGGTTTTGCACCTACACTGATGCCGTCCTCCCTACCTGCAGCTTCTCGACTGCACAGCAGATGCACCCCAGCTGTACCAGAGACCCTTCATTTAGCCAGTGTAAACCTATTGGCCTGGCCTGCGGAATACAGGTGGGGAGGTCGGTTGAAGAACGGCTTAGTAGTTGAGCGCTGCCACATATCGACAGGCATGGGGGGGGATGCGGCGGAAACCCCTGCCATACGCTCGCTGCCAGTGGGGCGGACGCTTAAAAAGGTCCCCCCTGCCGCACCTGTACGTCTTGACAGAAGAGCAGGGATGTGGGCCACTGGAGCAAGGGTCGGCCTCTCCAAAAAGGGTCTAAGCGGTTTCACTGTGTCTCCTCGCTGCAGCTGTTCGTCGCCTTTTAGGCCAAGTCACGCCGTGGTATCCTCCCTGTCTTCGTTTCCGTTTCCTAGCCAGTAGCCCTGCCCCGGAATACTCGACACGAGGCGCGCCCAGTGCCGCGGCGCTTTTGTACCCCCCTCGTCGCCCCGTCCTCTCGTCTTGGGCTGGGTACCTGGGGGAACAAGGCTGGTGGGCCGTCTCAGACCCTTCTCCTGTCACCGTCGTGTCGAAGCCGTCGAGGCACACTACCAAGAAACTTGCCCGTTCAGGCCTGTACGCAAGGGGCGCTGGCCGTCGTCCTTGTGCCTCCCTGTCTTCTCCGAGGACGACTCTGCACTCTGGCGGCGCACTGTGCTGGCTCGTCTGAGCTGCTGCGGAGCGTCATGTGCCAGAGCTCTTGGAGTCGTCTCCTCGCACTGGGAGTCGACCTTCCCTTGTCGCAAGCTTCCTCCCCTTCCCAAAACACCCCTTGTCGAGTGCGCAAAGGTTCCGAGTTACTGCAACTACGAGTGAATCCACTCCGGACCGGCTTGCATGCAGACGGCCAAGCCAAGCCAGCCAGCCAACTGCTGGGTGGGCGAGCTTGCAAGCTCTCCCCAGGCATGGGCTAGGTCGATGTGCATAGATATATAGCCTCACCACATCCTTTGGCCTATCAGCCGGTCCATGGTGCGGGAGCCTTAAACTGCCTTCCTGGCCCTTATCTGCAATCACATCTTCCGGGCCAGTGACTATTCTACCTCTTACACATACCGGCCCAGCGTCTCCCCCAATGGCTCACATTACCAGTTGCATGCTGGGTTCCGGCACGGAAGACGTCTCCCTGAGCCCCAATAATTATATAGCACCAGGAGTCTCCCCACAAACTTCCAATGAGTCGGTATGCAACCACTTTAGCTCTCCCAGGCTTGAACCCATCTGCTTGCCGTTGGTCCAAGCTTACCATATATCACCGTTGCAGCTAGGCAGAGCGTCCCCTTCTGGAGACAAGCCGTTCGTCTGGAGGATGCATCAGACCGAGAGGAAATACCAGCTCTTCCCCAAAGACAAGCAAGCCGCTGCTGCCGCCGGGAAGTCGTTGGACCCGGAGCAGGCCTTTGCCCTAGCCATGGGCCAGAACGGCGAGAAGAGTGACAAGCCCGCTGCCGGGACCGGCTTGAGGATACGGATCAAGGAACACAACCTCATCCGCAGGCGGAAGGTCAGCGTGCCTGATCTGGGGCCTATGACTACCGTGCAGGAAGTGGCAATGGACTCACGTATGATATTGTCTGCGCAACATACCTCGCCTGCTCCGACGGCTGACATGTGGTAGCTACTATTCCCGGCCGCCCGCCTCTTCACGAACGATCGATCAGCGCCCCAGGCACCTCCTGGAAGCAGCATCACCTCTTCGAACACTCGGCGCTGTCAAAGAGCCAGGTCCTTGACGAGAGGCCAGAGCTCGGGTCCGCCAGCTCCAGCCCGGCCAAGGACGAAGCGAGACGGTCGCCGACCGGAGCACGACAGCCACTGTCGCCCAAGACGCTTGCACCACTGGTGATCCCAGCGCTAAACTCGGCTGTCCCTCGTCTAACTCACCAGATGTCTCTCAGCCGTCTTCGCTCAGGCAGCACCCCCATCGAGGCTCCAATTCGCTCGGCAAGGACTGATGACTCGCCCAGGGTGAGGACTCCATATACGCCGCTCTCAGCCGCCCTGACCACCCCAAAGTCTGCTGCTACCTCGGTCATGACTGCCTCTACTCTTCCCACCCCTCTGTCGGCACCGATCGAGTCCAGGTCGTCGCCAAAGCCCTGGGAGAAGGCGGCAAACTACGCAGTAGTCAGCACTCCCAAGGAGGGCACCCCAGAGGCGGCCTGCACGCCCAAGGCAGATCCCCTCGACACGCCCCTGAGCGCCTCGGCCACTGGCCACCGGAGGAACCAGTCCGAGTCGGGCAGCATCATGGAGAGGGGCCGTCCAAGGAAGCGAAGCGAGTCAGGAGGTGTCAACGGCCGGGCAGAGTCCAAGAGAAGCAAGAGCGTGGAGCGGCGAGCCTTTGAGTTCCTGCCCAAGGGATGGAAGGCAACCGACGCCATGAACATGATGAGGCAGGAAGAGATCGCCGCTATACAGAAGCAGGCGTTGCAACAAGCTGCTCGCTTTGAAGTCCTCAGAAAGGAGGACGTTGACAATCTGTCAAGGGTAAGATTGGTCACCGCCCCAACTTGAATAAGTTCGTGTCTGACTATTATGTAGGAGCTCCGCCAGCTTGACGAACGCACCGAGTATCTCCGCCGCACGTATACCTCGCTGCGTGCTGGCCGACGCAACCTCCACACTCGCATCTGCCAGTATCTCCGCTCGCCCCGCACCGCCAAGTTCAGCCACGACTCGATGCTCAAGCAAGAGGAGGCCCTCGCCGAGCTTGATGCTTCGATCGATGACTGGGTCAACAAACTTGAGCAGGCCGAGAACCGCCGCACTAGGGTGCGGCAGAAGCTCCTCGAGCACGTTGCGGCTGCCGCCACTCTCTCCGTGTCCGCTGGCGGTGTCGTGGGCGTGAGCGAGAGTCTACAGCACGCCATGGGAGTTCGCCCGCTAAACCCGGCGACTGCTCCCAGCAACATTTCAACGCCGCCCCGCAGCCCTACCAAACTCTCCTTTACTTCTCATGCCCAATCCTCATCTCCCTCCCCACAACGTGTTGTGGCCCAAGTCCCGTCCACCATCCTCGAGCAGCCTTTGTTTGAAGAGGCAGCTTCGATGAGGCCCGATGTAGAGTCCAAGGCAGAAGTGCCCGCTCCTCTGCGTCGCGCCGAGACCATTCGCATCTATGCCGACAATGATGTCTATGCCCTCCTGGCTGACGTGGAGCATGCCATCACCAAGATGAGCGGACGCGACTTCTCTCCTATCAAGGATGAGTCAATGTCGGAAGCTGGGCGGAAAAAAATCAACCGCTCTCGCAGCCACGAGCTGCTGAAGGCATCGACGAATAAGCCGCTGCCTTCGCTCATCGACGCCGAGAAGGCTTGCTCTAGCAGCACGCCACCTCCGCCTGTCGCTATTCCCTCACCATCCATCGACGTGCACATGGAGGAGATCTTCCTCACTAGCGCCGTTTTCAAGCCAGAGCGGTCCTTTACCGTCTGCTGATATCTTTTTTTATTTCTCGTTTACTTCCTCGTGCCGTGGAACATTGCCTTCTCACGATCATTATCTGCATGTCATGTCTTATGACTTTTTTTTTTACTTTGATTGACTCACGATGCTTACGGCCAACCCCTATACATTCCTTGGAAGCATTACATTACCTTTCTCTTCAATTCTCTAATATTTGTCATCACCCCGTTTTACTTTCTATCACCCTAATATCTTGAGCCTCAACATTATACCAGCATCACACGGCATTCCTGTGTATTTTAGCATGCATACCCATCCACACTGGCGTTGGCGGAGATTCTACTGGCTTCTTTTTTCTCTACGCATGTTGTCACGGCCGTATCAAGATATCCAGTGCGCCGAAGATACCGCAAAAGCCCTCCATGACTTAGGCATTCATTTTCCTTCCTACTGTATACATTCTGTATCTATCATGCCTGGCGGGGAAATTCCAAGGGCAGTTTAGCTTGTCATACCACCCCACCTTAGGTAGCTGTTGTTATCAACCGGCTGTTAACCTTGCTTTTGCCATTGCGCCTCTGATGTGCATATCTTGATTCCTTTGCGGGTGAAAAAAATGTCACGCGATGTATATGTCTATCTATATGGTGTGGTTCTACTTGGCATTGTTGGCCATGTGCTGTTGATCGCCGCCGGCATGAATGGAGGGGAAGAAAAAAAAGAGGGACTCGGGCGATCCGGAGCATGCCGGTCGTAGATATTCGGAGAGAAGATGGTGGGTTGAGAGAGCGGATCTTTTCGGTGGTGGGACATTTCTAGGTGCAGTAGGGTGAAACGAGGGGATGAATGTCCTGCGGAACACTGTCGGTATCTCGAGACGGGAGCCCACCGACGGACGGGAGGCGGAGGCGGAGCGGGGCCACGTCCTGATTGGGAAAGTCGTTCATGTTCGTTCAGAGGGCACGGCTCCTCCATGGCTTGGCTTCGCTGTGCTGTGTGGCGCACTTTGATCTCCTACATGTCTGTGTTACGTATCAACTACCAAGCTTGTTTTTTTTTCAATGTGTGGTGTGGTGTAGGAATACATAGGATGTAAATTGGAAGCTTGCGAGTGCTGTGTAGTGGTTGTGCGTGTCGGTGTTTATGTCGGTGTTAGTGCTGGCGGTTTTGGGTCCATGTGTATTGTTGTCAATTGTGGGTGTTGGAGTATGCCGTTTTAGGTGCATGTGTGTGTGTGTGTGTGTGTGTGTGTGTGTGTGTATGTGTGTGCGTGTGTGCATGCGTGTTTGTGTGTGTGTGTTGTGAGATGTGAGTTGTGAGTGGACGAGATTTCGAGGGTGAATGTCCGTGGTTGTGTCGGTTCGGTGTTCCGTTTTGGCTAGCTAGCTACCTTGCCTTGCCTTGCCTTGATTCTGCACGATTCGCAGAGTTTCACTTGGTATGTGCGGAACATGGAGTTGCACGCAGCAAGGGAGCTATCCGTAAGGGAGTTAGTTGCCCTCCCTTGCCTTGGCAGGTGGTTGGCTCGGAGGTTTCAGGTGCACTTCTCCATCTCCATCTCTTGTTTCACCGGCCCGGCCGGTGGTGTTCACTCTCTCGAATCTATCTCGAATTTCTTTTCTGCTGTTGGTAATTTATATGAAGGGTGATGCATTTTTTTATTATTTTTTTTTTGCCACCGCCAACCACCACTACCACCATCAACCCAATCTCGATACCTAATAGCGGGGTGGGAGGTTAAGGGGTTGTCGTAGTCGTTATCGCTGTTCGTCTTATTGCAGTGCTGATTAGGTAGATTAGATTTGAGTTGTGGTACTAAGTTGGGGTTTTCGTCGCTCCCCTTCTCTTTTTCTTCTTTTTTCCTTCTGTAGACAGGCTGTAAGCGCGCCCCCTATCTCCCGGTCGGTTGATTGAGGCTGAGATTTTTCCAACTCCAACCGTTCCGGGCTACAACCGATCTCGACTTTATTTAAACTCAGTCCCCTCAGAACATGATAACGAGATTGATATAGTGGTGCTGCAACGGGTTGCAGAGAGTAAAAATAGATCTTTCATTTATGTCTTATTTTATTTTATCTTCCTGACATAGGCCGGCAGCTGTGTTGGTTGACACCTACCAAGTTGGTAGGTAGTTATACTATCCACACGTGCTCTCCCTCTGCATGTAACCAACCGCGGGCCCCATTACCCTCCGCGTATAGCTTTTCTCGTGTCACCAAGTCAGGAATGGAATGTTTGTCCTTCTATCTGCGGGGCGGGTTCTTCCTTGTGTCACCGGGGAGGGGGGCCGGAGTTTGACCAGACCCGAACAGCGGGTGCCTGGTCGTAAGCTGTCGTTGTTGTCGAACACAGCCAGCCACTACACTGACGTGAGGCAAGGCAAGGCAGGCCCCCCGTTTATGGTGTCTGCATGTCATGTCTTGCGGATGGGATGGGGGTTATTGGGTGGGTGGACGGACATAACGGAGAGAGTATATAGAGACGGACTGGGAAACTCTGGTACTTGCAAAAGACCTGGCGAGTACATCCATAGCCTGTGCCAGGCAGACAGACTCTGGATGGCATATGAAAAAGATTGGACGAGTGCTTGCTTGGATCAGCTCCGTCGCCCTGCCTTGCTTTTTCTTGAGTAACCCTCCCCCCTTAATTACGGAGGCACCGAGGCACCGAAGCACCGAGGATCCGCGGGACGGAGCTCGGAGGACGTGCCCGGGGCTGAGCTGCCCAACTGGGTAGCTAGATACTCTACAGCCACTGCCGATCTTTAGCTGTATACTGCTGCTCTTGTTGTTTCTATTGCCACTGAGCCAGACTAGGTCGATGCATGCCAGTGCTCGAAAACGGACCGATTCGGGGCTGGACTAGCTCCGCAGGCTGGACGTTTGTGGCGTTTTGCTTTGGTCGTTTTCTTTTGGTCTGATAATATTTTCCGGTCTCTTCTTGCGGTTTGGCTCGGGTTAGTTGTTTCGTCTCTGGAAGCGTGTGTGCCTAGAGGTGTGCGTGTGTGTATGTGTGTGAGAAGTAAGTGGGTTAGAGAGAAGAGTGTGTGCGCAAGCCAGTTGACGAGTCTCTTCACACCCACTCTCCAGCACCCAACAGCCTCCCTGCTTCATGGTGAGACGCGAGTTACTCTAGAGGGTATTCCGTTAAAAGAAGGGCACGGCTCGTCGGTGGTGTGCCGTGTTTGCCTGCTGTGCGTGCGTGGTCTAAAGGGTATGCCGAGGCTTGCGGCGAAGCACGGAGCGGCGGCGCAGCTCGTCATACGGCCGCGGACACGGCTCGGAGATGTCAGTACGAGTTGCCGAGTCGATCCTGAGCTCGGGCTTGGCGTGCCGTCATCCCAAAAGGTTCTCTCTGGGGGAATAGTATCACCGAGCTGGTGTGGTGCCTGTTTGCCTGTTATCTGCCTGCCTGCCTGCTTACAACTTCTAGGCACCTCTGGCAGCTTGTTACGCAGTTACACGGGCACACGTGCCGCAGAGCGATCCTTCGCCATGCCGTTGCCCAATCGGAGCACCTTACAAGGCGGAAAGCGATTCGTCCTATCGTCCATCAGACGAGTTGCTTATCTGGAGTTGCCGGTTGATATATGTGCCTTTGCGGCGCTGATGTCTCGAAGCTCTCCATGGCGGTCACCTGGCTCTTGCTACTGGTCTGTGTGTTGACGCACATGCACGTAGACGTTGATTCAGTCAGAGCAGGAGGGTGGGTAAGGACAACTATCTCGACTCTGCAACCGGAAAGGCTGTGGCCCGTCACCTGGGGCGGGAACAACCCTAAGTGGCTTCTCAGGGGAGGCCGGGCACATGTGCTACAGATAGGATCCCGGGCTCTTCTACTCCTGGCTTCGCATCCTGCAGGCGGTTGACTGACGTGACGCTGCGCCGCCTTCTGTGCCCCTACCCAGCCGGAGGGAGAGGTGCGGTCTTTGGAGACTTTGAGCGCTGACGCAATATTGTTGCCGGAATCCGGGGAACATCTGACACGCAGGATGCCGGTGCGCTTATTTCTCCGTGTCATATATCATATCTCCAATGCGTCAACGTTAAAATAATTAATGATTACCTCACCATGGCTCGCTATGACAAACCGAAGAGTCGATGCAGTGCACTTTTGCACTTTTTGCGAATTTACTGAGCTCAGACAATACCCCTTTGCGCTGTTTCAAACAGCAATCTACAAGCCAGGATGCTCGATTGTCTTCCCGAATCCATATGCCGGGCTATATAAGCCGGCGCATTGACAGATCTGCTGCTGTTGCCCCTTTTGGCTCTGGTTCCTCCTGATCTGGAGTGCGTGATCCGTTGCACAGCAGGTACATTATCACAATCAAGTATAGACAGGAACGGAAACAGAGAGAGGGTGAGAGGAGGGGGGGCTGTCGGCGATCCACTGGACATCAAACACCAAACATCTGACGTGTGTGCGCACCAACCCCCTGAACCTGAGCCGGCATCTTCCCGGCACCTCGACGAGAGAAAGGCGTCACGCCACCGTGGCGAGAGACATGTTTCTATATATCGAACAATTGCCTGCCAGTTGATGGGTCAGCAAGCGCGGCATGAATGATCACCGTTGCCGCCGTCCAGGGCAGCTGTGGTTGAGCTGGCTAAGATTGGAAGCGTTCATGCAATGCCGAGGAGAGAGCTGGCTATATGAGAATGTGGCTTCATGGAATAAAACCGGTGGACTATTTAGTTGTCGATCTTAATCGTAGCAAAATATTACTTCTTAGCCAAGTAACCCGAGACTCTTCTCTCTAACCGCCAGCAAGACTATGCAAGAAGATACCTGCTCATTGATTCCTCCTCACCTGACGCTCAATATTAGCCAGATTCTAAGGGTTTATTTACTATGGGATGCTATATGCTTGCCTTGAGGGAAACTACGAGTATTGAGCTTCCGCCTTCTACCTATTTTGAGTCTCCAACGTTGTTACCTTCAACATTCGGTATTACAACGAGGTAACAACCTGCAATTCGTCCTATGTGGGGAAAGTTACAAAATTCAGCTTCATCTTCTCAAATGACTCTTAACTAGAGAAAAGGTTAATATCTTAGATAGACCTCTTGAGCTTCGGAAAGTTGAACATGGTCTTAAACTCTTGTCCTTGATCGTGTCTTCTCTCCAACCCAGGGTTAGGGTCACGGCCCTTCAGTTCGACCCTTACCCACCAGTCATAACTGCACCTAAATCTCGGACACATCATTAAAGCGGGCTGGGTGGCCGAGCGGTCTAAGGCGGTAGACTCAAGAAGTTCCACTATCTTCCTCACAGTAATGCGAGGTGATTTCTACTCTCGAAAGAGGCGCGCGTTCGAATCGCGCCCCAGTCAACCTTTCTTTTTTAGCTCCGTCTTCGACTGTCTCGATGGACGAATTCGATGGATATGTGCATTCCCGGTTCATTTTCATGCTGATGGCTTTTTGTCGCAGACACGCGCGCACACACGGATGCCGGCAGACGACGGGCGATGCGCATCGAGGCAATTCGGGCGTCGCAGACTCGCGGCCGAAGCGCACTGCCAACTCACCGCTCCGTGTCTCACTCAGTTGGCCCTTTCCTTTAGCATGCCGTCTGGGCTGCGGCTCCTGTATGCAGTGGAGGCGGTTGGCTTGAACGAGGATAGCCGGGTCATGACGTAGCAAATAAATACCTCCCTAGGTCTACACGGTAGCGAAGGCAAGGGCGACCGGTGCGCTGTAACCCTCTGCGTTCCTCGGTGGACACGAGAACACAGCTAATGCACCAAGGTACGGTAGGTACCGAGTAAAGGCAAAGTAATCCTCACATTCGATTGCAAGAGCCGGATCCAGTGCGGCAGAGACGAGTGAGCATTGGCAAAATTGACATTTCACCTTGTCGAGCGAATTTGGTTCGTGCCCTATCTAAGTCTGCCGCCGATCGCCAGCGCATCTTTTTTTGAGCCTCTGAGACAAGTAAAAATCATTCAAACCTCCCCGGCCCCCCCCCCCCCCCCCCCCAAAAAAAAAAAACCGAAAGCAAAGGAAAGCAAAATGGCGATAGCTTCATCCACCGCCAAACCCGCCGCAGGCGCGCCGCCGGCTGCACCAAGCACAAGTACGGACCACCAATCGCAGACAACTCCCGACCTCAGCAAGGAATATGACACACCACTCGGACTCGCGCACACCACAATGCAGGCCCTCAAGGGCCGCATCAAGCTGCACTACGACCTCGCCAGCGACTATTACCTGAACCTCTGGTACCGCGGCCCTCTCTTTTGTGTCTATCTGTCGGTTGTCTGAACTTTTGCTGATGTGACGCGCGCGAGGGAAAAAGGGGCGAGCACATCCACCACGGGTATTGGCCGACGGACGAGTCTAAGGCCACCGACTCCAAGGAGGTTGCCCAGCTGGCCCTCATCAAGCTGCTGCTCGACGTGTCACGCGTCGCCGACGGCAGCCGCGTGCTCGACGTCGGCTGCGGCGTCGGCGGCACCTCGCGCTATCTCGCCGCCGAGCTGGGCTGCACCGTCACCGGCATCACCATCTCGCCCAAGCAGGTCCAGATCGCCACCCGCCTGACCAAGGCGGCGGCGGCCGCCGCCGCCGCGTCTGCCTCCTCGCCACAGCTGCAGCAGTCGACATCGGCGTCAGCGCAACCGCCGGCTGCCGCCGCAGACGCTGCCGACGCCGACGGCTTCATCCGCCTCGGCAAGGGCCGCGTGCGCTTCGTCGAGCTCGACGCCGAGAGCATGGGCGACTACTTTGCCGCGTCCTCGGAGAGCTTCGATGCCGTGTGGATCAGCGAGGCGCTGTCGCACTTCCCCAACAAGGCGCTCTTCTTCCGCAACGCCTACCGGCTGCTCAAGGCCAGCGGCAAGCTTGTGCTTGCTGACTGGTTCAAGGCTGACGGCCTGGGCCAGGCCGAGTTCGACGCCGACATCAAACCAATAGAGGGTATGCATATGCCGCGAGTCTCGCCTTTCCTTTCCTTTTGGTCACTGTGGTAGATGAAATGGAACCAAGGTTGCTGACGAGACGAAAAAAAAAACAGACGGCATGCTGCTCCCGCCCCTGTGCGTGCAGCACGACTACGTGCGCCTCGCCGAGGAGGCCGGGCTCGAGGTCCTTGCCGGCGGGCCCAAGGACATCAGCCAGAACGTGAGCAAGACATGGTGAGTCCTGTTCTTCTATACTAATATTTCTGTTAAGAAAATGGGACTGGCGGGCTGACAACCCACTTCCGCAGGGACATCTCGTGGGCGCTCGTGCAGAACCCCGCGCTCTGGGCGTTTGCCTTTTCGCAGGGCCGCGACGGAATCGCGTTCCTCCAAGCCTTCCGGGCCATGCGCCGCGGCTATGCCAACGGCAGCTTCCGGTATGCCGTCATGACGTTTGAGAAGTGAACAGCCAGCTGCTTTGCCTGTTCTCCTGTATAGACCCCTAGACGCCGTGGATAGATAGATAGGTATATACCTAGACACAGATAACACAAAATATGGCGCAGCTCTTTTCCGTTGATGAGGATGGTGGTGTTGATGGTGGCGATCCTTGTTTTCTCAGAGTGAGTTTAGACGGCGGGAGTGAGGCAGGCTGAGCTGAATGGAATGAGAATGAGTCGAGAGGTCATCAGCACTAACTACGTAGCTTGACTAGCTGGCCGGGAAACCGAGAATCAACTAACTGAGTAGATGGATCAACCTCTGCTCACTGACCAACTGACTGACTGACTGACTGACTGACTGACGCGTCCGAGACAAAACCCCGTCTGCTGATTATGGCGATCCTAAAGATGATGGTGATGGATGGATAGATGGACAGATCCTCATCGGCGGCAGCGCCTCGATGCCAGCCAGGTAAGATGCCTTGCCTTGCCTTACCTAGGTGTATGTATGTGTAGATTGGTGTAGTGTAAGTCGGTGTGTCTGTCCCTGGAATGAATAAAATAGAGCAGACCCCGTAGTCTGATTCGTGCGTTTGCGGGACGCGACACACTTCCTTCCTTCTCAAGGCTGAGTGAAGCCGAAGCCAAGAAAAACGAGGATCAGCTTCCCCGCTGTTTTTTCGGTGATGTTGTCTCTGAGAACGGTGGTGCTGGTCGACTTATGCCCCGAATAGGCAGTCTTGTGTTCCATGTCAGATGGCGATGTGGTGGACGAGTGAAAGCCCCCTCTTGAAGTTTGACACTGTGGTTTTTCAGTTCTCACTCAAAAGGGTGGTAATTATGTTTTAGGAGAGAGGATTACTACTACGAATAACTGTCAATCACGTTTGGTGTCGACACTGCAGCTCGTGTTGCGGATGGCTCGGGTGAGAGAGAGACTGAGCGAGTTGTCTCTGACCCCAAGTTTTGTTTCTTGTCTAGAAAAACGCTATTGGGAGACAATTGACAGGTGACCGCCTTGGCGGAAATAATACGAGAGGAGAGCGACGATCAACTGGCTCCTTGGTGTGCTGCTATCTGCTGGCTGTTTTCGTGTTCGCAGGCTTGGGCTTACTTGCCATGTGAGCGTGGGTGCGTATGGGGATGTGGCTGTGTTATTGTCAGATGGGATTCAGACGGATGGATAGATCCTGTCTTGCGTTAAGCCACAGGCGCAGGCGCAGGCAGGCCATGTTGCTAACGGCTTCTTCGGGGCTTCTCTTTTAGTTTCACGAGGCTGGAATTTAGAGAGAGACATGGCGGGCAGTTCGGCAATCTGTTAACAGCTAACATTTGTGGGTTTCTATTACAAGACGCCCCCCTTTTTTAATGTTGCCCCTTTTGGCTTACACGCCATATTCAACTGCTGTGCTCGACTCTGCTCGCCGGTACAGCCTCGAGCGAATACAGAAATACATCGACAGCAGACTCGCGCTGGCCATTGCGGATAAAGTCGGGTGCCACGGTAGTATCCATTATGTTTTCTGTAGTCTTGCAGCTGCTGCGACTCCGAGTCCGCATCGAGACTTGTCCCGTCTCAAGACTCGCCCAGGTAGGTATCTACTACCTCGCAGCTATTATTAGTGGGCAGAGCATCATGCTATTAGCCAGTGGCCGGGGAGTCACGGGCCGCAGCCACTCCCTCAATAATATTTTTTTTTTGCAGAGTTGGCGAGGCAGCGTATTTACCCGCGGGCCTAATCTTTCCTCTGGGCTGGCTGTGTGCAACACCAAGACAACAGCCGTCAGCAGCATCCTCAGCCCTGCGGGATTTCAACAGCAAACCGCCGTATAGCTGCCCATACGAAGAAATGCGACGCTGGCGTGTGGCCGCGACGGAGGAGACAGCAAATGCCCGGGCTGAGCTGTTGGCGAATATACGGAATGAGACATTGCTCACCGGTTCCGTCATCTCACCGTCACGTTGTCTAGGTACGTTGCCTGGCTAGGAGCGGTGCTTGGCCTTGGGTCCGTCTCCTTCGCCTCCTCGACTGGCCGAGGTGGCGAGATGAATGCCAGCCGAGTAAGTAGACGAATAGATGTATAAAAACCGGCTCGCAGCTGGCTCTCCTTGCCTTCTCTCATCTTATCGTATCTTAAACCAGTTGACAACTCACTCACACAAACAAGCAACCAACCAACAACACAAAATATCAACAAAGCAACCCGCTCAACCTCACAACAAAACAAAACAAAACAAAACAAAACAACTAACATGCATTTCACCACCCTGATCGTCGCGGCCCTCGCCTCGACCTTTGCCGCAGCAGCACCTGCCACTCCCTCTAACACTAAACGCGCCTGCACACAGATCTTCCCAGCAGGCGTCACGGCAATCCACCTAGCCAAGAATGCCGCCATCAACATCCAGCAGGACCTGGCCTTTTCCGTGCCAGCGGGCGCGGGCGGGCCATGCAGCCTGGTAGCGACGTTCCCGGTGGGGTTTTCCATCGCGAACTCGGGGCAGGCGCTGGTCGACGTGGTGGCCGTCGACGGGCCGGCGCCCGGTGCGCTCGTCGGGTCCATCACCTTCGCCAGCGACCCCGTGAGCCCGACGTTCCGCACTATCAACTCGTTCGCATGCCGCCCGAATATGCTGTTCCGCCTGCGCATCTCGGGCGCCCAGGGCGCGGTTGATTTTGCGGAGGGCAATGGCGCCGGCGTAGCGCTGACGTATAGCTGCTGAGCTGAGCTGTGTCCGGTGATGTGTGCGTTTGCGTGTCTCTCTCTCTTGGGTTATGGCATGGGATGGTTGGGGGTAGGGATAGGCAGGAGTTTAGATTTGCGGTTTAGTCGTGCGTTAAAAGGGGCGGATAGGGGCACCAATCTTTTTTTTAGGGGGGGGGGGGGAATTTATTAGGTTAACTAGGTATTGAGAATCGTCATTTACGAGTTTGCACGTTTCTGTTCAACACGATTTGTTTCCCTGACCAAAACATCAAGTCTTTCGGCCTCGCATTCACAACGTGTCTGTAGAGTGATAAAGTCAAACTGCCCAGCGGGTGTGAGAACTTACTTGAAGCCGTATAAGTGCTCGGGGATTTGCCAGCACAATGTTGCCTCCTCCCTTTGACAACACATGCCTCCCCATACCCAGACGATATCAAAACCCTTCCACTCCTGTCATCCCCAAACAGCACCGCGTCAGCCCCTAATCCCACCAGATACACATCTGTGGAAGCTGCTCCTCGAGTAGGCAGGTAGACGAACAAAAACACCCCCCCCCCCCCCTTTTCACCACCCTCCCTCCCCACTTACACCACAGCCCTCAAATCGCTCACTAACCTGCGCCCCGGCCTCGCAATACTATCCTCATCATGCGGTAGATCCCTAGCCGTCTCCTTAATCGCATCATCAACCCACACCCTCACCTCCTCTAGCTGCATGACAACTCTCACATACCCATCGATCCTCTCCCTGTCCCCGCCCAGCAGCTCCGCAGAACCAAGATAGGTCTGCAACCGCAGCACGACGGGCGCGTAGAACGCATCCACGGCACTAAATTGAGGCCCAGCGAGGAACGGCCCGCCGAAGCGCGCCAGCCCGTCGGTCCACAGCTCGCCGACGCGGCGCAGGTCGGCGCGCAGTGCGTCGCTGGCAGAGTCGGGACCAGAGAGCGCGATGCGCAGCCCGACGTTCATGCCCAGCTCGTCGCGCAGCGCGGCGAAGCCGGCGTGCATCTCTGCGGTCGCGGAGCGGGCCCATGCGCGCGCGGCGGGGGCGGGCGGGTAGATGTTTTTCTTGTTGCTCTCAGTAGAGTGGGCTTCGGCGAGGTACTCGACGATGGCGAGCGAGTCCCACAGCACGAGCGGTTCTTTGGAGGTATCGTGTGAGACATGTAGGCACGGCACGCGGGCCACGGGGGAAAAGGCCGACCACTGCGGCTGGCGGAAGGAGCCCGTCTCTTCCAGCGCGTGCAGGACCTCGTCGAAGGGGATCTCGAGGACGCGCATCAGTAGCCAGGGCCGCAGGGACCACGAGCTGTAGTTCTTGTTGGTGATGTGCAGGCGGTAGGCCATTTTGTTGTGATGTGTTGTGCTGTTGTTTTGATGTTATGAGATTGGTCTCAGTCTCCCTTCAGAAAGTCTTTTGCTCGCACCCCCTTTCCCCTGTTTCCCAAAGAGTCTTCGCTTTCTGCTTCTCCCAGGTCGTTAGTTAAATAACAAACAAATTTCTGTCCGGCAAGCAGCTCGCATACCATACCAAAATTCACTAGATAACACGCCAGAGGGCACTATGAGTCAGAAAGGGGCTGCAGCGTTAACTAGTTCAGACGGAGACCGTCAGGATGCCGCAAGCCGCAGAGGGGAGCAGCCGTCCGATAAGAAGCGCAATATAGCCGATGCAGCTATAGACCTAGACCTTGACACTGCGAAGGCCCCGCAATGCTGCCTCGTCTAGGAAGCTCCCAGTAGCAGTCGCGCCTTGCCGTTGACCGGCTGCATCGGCTCCGAAGACGCTCATGTTGTGACTCGTGAAAGTGCCAGCAAGGTTGGCGTAAAGGACACACACTCGGACTGTGCATGGGACCATGGGCCCATGGCTTGCAACCTGATTTGACATGAACTGGCTTCGAAATAGATGCATCTGAGCTATCAACTCCGGCGCTGGGCGAGCCTCCATACAAGGCCGGACGAGCAACGCCTTATCATACCACATCGGCAACCAGTAGATAAACCCTATCTATCATCCGATATTTTTGCTCCTTTTTTCTTTCGTCTAACCCTATACGTCTATGCAGCAGCAACCGGCTGAACTTCTTTCTCCTTGGCCTTCTGCGCCTTTTTGGCTTCTATTTGCTTCTGCTTCTCCAGCTTCTTCAACTGGTTCTTGGTCAGCTTGCCATCGCCCTCCGCCGCCTCACCCGCTGCAGTCCCAGCAGCTCCTTCCACCTGAGGAACCACGATGGGAGCCCGGGGGTTGCCGGCCCACTTCAGCGGCCGCCTGTCCATGAACTGGTGAACGATCTCGTCGTCCACCTTTGCTCTCCGTTCCTGGAAGGCCTTGACGTATGTCTGCAGCTCCTTGATGCAAATCGCTTTGAGGTCGCCCGTGAGCAGCTCGCCAGACTCGTACGCCAGCCGGATCTTCTCCAACTCTTCGTCGTCCTCGAGGAAGAAGCGAAGATACAGGAAAGAGACATCGACGCTGGTGTCTCCCCCCTTTTCTCTATGCTCCTCGACCGTGGTCTTTCCGCCCGAAAAGGCGTACTTGTTAATCTTGTTCTTGATTTGGTTGGGCGTGTCCTTCATGAAGATGGCGCTTTCGTCTACAGACGCCGACTGGACAGCGTTAGCCTAGAGACACGTTGGAGACCTTATTGCGATTGAGAATTACCATCTTGGTGCCAGGGCCCTGCAGGGCGTCTAGAAACTTGGAGTGAAGCAAGCTCGGCTTTGCATAGTGTATCCTCGCAGCAACATCCCTGGCCATGCGGAAGTAGGGATCTTGGTCAATGGCGCACGGAATTAGGGCGGGTATCAAGTTCGTCTTGGTCTCGTCGGTGCCAAAGATGTGCGGGAAGGAGGAAGCAAAGCTGGTCGCTCCCTGGATGCTCCTGCACGAACCGGCCGTGTTAGTGCTACTACTCTAAAAATGTGAGAGAATGGCCAAAGTACCCAAAGTGGATCTTGCCAATGTTTGTGCTGTCGTTGAATCCAAAGATTGCACGGCTTTGGTTCAGCGTGATGTGCTTTGAGAGGCGGACGACGTTTCGGTAGAAAGCGCCACCCATGAATTCGAAATCCGAAAAGATAAAAGTCTTGGCTGGGTCAAAGCCAATGGCGATGATGTCCTTGGCATTGGTATAGCAGTACCCCTGGACTTCTTCGACCGTCCTCTTGTCCGAGAACAGATATTTCTCGTCGTCCGTAAGCTGAGCTCGGTTAGCTACACCACACAATAGAAGCGGTAACTAGCCGAATGAGGCCGCACCATGATGACCAGGGGACAGTCCAGCGCCTCTTGGAGCCATTTTGTAAACTCGAATGGGATCGTGTGGCCGACATGGACGCTGTCCGACGAGGGGCCGCGGCCGGTGTAGAGGAAGAAGGGCTCGCCGCGCTCGTAGCGGTCGAGGATGAGGTCGAAGTCACGGTGGGAGAAGACAATGCCTGGCCGGGGTCAACACACGCGGTAACGCAAGTTTTTAAACGTCAAGACAGACCTCTGCGGAGGAAGCGATGTGGCTTCTGGCCCGTCAGGCGCTCGAAGCGCTCGAGGAGGGCCGGGTCGATCCTCTTTGTGCCAAACTCGTCGACCAGCTTCGAGTAGTCGATCGCCTTCATGACGCCGTCCTCGCCAACCTCTCCCGAGACCTATGCAGCAAATCAGCGGGCCGCTGCGGCTTTAGTCGCGAGTCGCACCCGACACCACACCACACTGCACTGACATTGTAGGGGTCCACCGACTGCTTCGACTCCTTTGCGACAGCTTCGGGCAGGGGGGACTCGTTCAGAGCCTCTGCATTCACCGTCGTCGCCATGTTGGGATGGGTGCTCGGAAAGCTGCCGTGATCAGAGACGAGTATAATTGGGATGCGCCGACGGTTGGGCTCAGAACGGCGCTGGCGCAGGTGAACACTGTTGGTGGGCTTTAATCTTTGCGGGTGAAGAGGTGAGTCAGTCAGTACAGTCACCCAAGACGACAATTGGCGTTGCGGGGGAGGGGCATTTGGTGCACAGTGCATTCACACACAGTGTCCAGTGTCGTGTCAGTTTTGGGGAAAGGCGGCAAGCTGGGGCAGAATGGGTTTGGAGTTGTTCCCGGCAGGCACGCCGCGAAGCTAATAATAATTTAGGGCACTTTAAGTAGGCAGTTGGACGGGATCGCGAACTAATCTTGCGACCTTGGCAGCCAGAGTTTTGTGTCTTTTGCTATTTCGCAACCATGTTGACGGCACCATGGGTGTGCCGAAGCTGTGTGCGGTCGCTGCGGTCCCTGTGGATTCCCCATCCTCGGCTCCTACGAAGAGCTAGCACAAGTCGGTCTCGTCTCCAACCACGGTCTGAACTGGCCGTCGCGCCCTCGGCGGGCTGTTTTGCTGACTGGCAGCTCCTTTGCAGACGGCGCGACCGACCCCACGCCCGGCATCTCGCCGTCCCTCTTGGAGAGGGCGCGCAAGATTGCCGCCGAGCACGGCCAATTGAGCGTCTCGTTGGAAGCGAACTTCGATCCCAAGACGGCAAAACGCGCCGGCGAAATCTCGAGAGTCGCGGCGGCGCTCAGAGAGTTCGAACAGGCGAGGACGGGGCTCGGCGAGCTTCAGACGCTGTTGACATCGGACGATGCCGAGATGCGAGAGCTCGCCCAAGACGATCTCGAGGCTACCAAAGCCCAGCTGGCCGACCTCGGGCACAACCTGTCGGTGGCCCTGTCGCCCAAGCACCCCTTTGCCGACATGCCCTGCCTGATCGAAATCCATCCCGGCCCGGGCGGCACCGAGGGGCGCTTCTTCGCCGACACCGTTTTCCACATGTACCAAGCCTACTGTGCGAACAAGGGCTACCGCACGCGCGTGGTGCAGTACGAGGCCTCGGACAGCGACGGCCAGAAGGGGTCCGAGGGCGAAATCGCGCTGCAGGAAGCCGTGCTCGAGGTGCAGGAGCCCGGGGCGTACGCGGCCTTCCGCGGCGAGGCCGGCATGCACCGCGTGCAGCGCGTGCCGGCCACGGAGAAGAGCGGGCGGACCCACACAAGCGCCGTGGCGGTGTGGGTACTCCCCTCCTTCCCGGAAAACTCGGGGCCGGGCACAGCGAGCGACGTGGAAAACCCCGACAGCGACTTCTACATCGACCCGACCGAGGTGCGCACCGAGACGATGCGCGCGCGCGGGGCGGGCGGCCAGCACGTCAACAAGACCGAGTCGGCGATCCGGCTGACCCACATGCCGACCGGGACCACGGTCAGCATGCAGGATTCGCGGTCGCAGGCGAGCAACCGGGTGTCTGCGTGGCGCATCCTGCGCTCGCGCATCGCGGCGCAGAAGCGCGAAGCGCGCGAAGAGCTGACGCGCAGCATGCGGAGCAGCGTGCTCTCGCAGTCGCAGATCACGCGCGGCGACAAGATCCGCACCTACAACTACCAGCAGGACCGGTGTACGGACCACCGCAGCGGCATGGACGTGCACAACCTCCCCGACGTGCTAGCCGGGGGGGGTTCGCTGAACAAAATCATGGACAGCGTCCAGACGTGGCTGCTCGACAGGGACATCCAAAACGTAATCGCCGAAGAGGAGGCTACCAGTGCTAGCGATAAGAAAGGGGGCAAATAGGGGCCTCTGATCGTGTGCCAACCCAGGCAGCTAGCTATCGCCGCCATGTATAATTGCCTACCTTGGCCACTAGGCGTCTCTGTACAAATGGGCTTAGACATGGGAATAATTCTGTTCAATACACTTCAATTCATTCTCGGTACCTGCATCTCGACGTCGACCGCCTTTCCTCCAGCCTCGGATATACCGAGCATGTGTCTGCTGTTCCAATTCGACTCAAGAAACAAGCATTGCCATGAAGCTTGTTTCTTTGGTCGAAAGCTTGACATGCCAACTGCAGGACTTTGGGAGTGGACGAGGTTGCAAGTTGCAGCAATGACGCGGTCCATCTTTGCCTTTGCCCCCTTAGGCAGGAAAGCTCCCCTCATCCCGTCACTGCTAAAGAAGGCACGACAGGGAAGGACTCGGAGCTAGAGTCCGCTGCTGCATCGTGCAGTATCGTCCAATCACAAGGCCGGGTTCCCCGAGGACCTGCCCCTTTTGGACGCACGAACGCCAAGGAGGAACCTGCTAGGCCGATTTCTCATGCGTATCATTTTCTCCTCTTCTTCAACCCAACGGCCAGCCACCATTGAATCCACGGACCAGGCCGCCACCCGCTCGCTGGCCCCCAACTTCCATCCATTAACATTGGCACGGACACGGACATGAAAATAAGGACTAATCCAAGCGTGCTCCTTTCTATTTCAGCCACGCACGATAAGGATTTACATGACAGAGGCAATAAGCTGTTCGACGAGAGCGGGTTGAAATGGAAGCAGTATACACCCCGTTCGGTACCGGTCTAGACAGCAGGTAGGTCCCTCGTGCCTTTTAGCCACGCCTTGTCCGACACTGCAGGGCATCATGCCGCGCGCCGGGCCGCTTAGCCCATTCATCAGTGTTCTCGCTCTATCCGACCATCCATGATGCTATGTACAGTACATTGCTTGTGAGTAGTGTACACTAAGTACGACCTCCCCGTAAGAGCCAAGCTTTTCCCGAATCTGGGGAATCTTAACTTACACAGGTGCACTACCTTATCTGCCACGCCGATTGTTCGTTCATCCGACTGCGCGCCGTCGGTCGTCGGCACGATGCCTCAGCTCGGCTTAGCACTATCCCTACCCTAGGGGTATTATTGTCCGCTTCATATTGTTCTTCCCTTAGCCGCGGTCCCTCGCACCGCACGCGAGATAACGCTCAGTCGCCGCCCGCTTCACACCCGATCCTCCATGAGTCCAACCTAGCTGGCCTCGGCCTCCTTCCTAACCCAACAATTCTGGGCTTGCCTACTTTTTACATACTTACCTCAGGTACGCCTGCCTCGCTCTACACCACGCAGAGTACACGTACATGCCGTACCATCCTGGACGGGTAGGTGCCAATGTGCCACACAGGGGGGCCGCCATACCTATCCACATGTATGTATGTACGTATGTGCAATGTAGTATTCGCGCGGGAGAAACCTTGCACCCTCCCCCCCTCTGCCTTGCCCGGCGCTGTGAGGCGCCGCCCCCATTGGATTTCTGTGTCCCGATTGCAAGCCCTACGTCGTCATCTGTCCCTGGGTCCTGCTTGATTGAGCTGGCCGCGGTGACGGCTGCAGTCTGCAGTCTGCAGTCTGCACCATGGTGACCGCCATGTCCGGGGCGCGGGGTGATGCCGAGCGTGTTGAGCTGGGGTACGTAGGTATGTAGCTGGGAACTAGAGAAGACGATAGGTACCTACGCAGCTCGTGGGCCTACGATGGTACAGATAGCAGGCGGAGGCATGGTAGGCAAGTGATATGTGTGTGAGTGGTATGTACTATATATCTAGGGGACCACCGCCGTCTTGCCTTGTTTTCCAGCTCTTGTTGATTTAACTCGACCGCATCCCCGGGTTTCTTGGGTGCCATCTTGGCACGGCTGTAGGAACCGACTTCTTGGGCTGCCTACTTTTGCCTTGGCTGCCTATCTGTCTGCTTGCCCATCCCGCCCCTATACGTCGCCGAATAATTATATATATCCATAAGCGAGGTCAATTAGAACGAAAGAAGAAACAGCAGCCATCTTTGACTACTTACTCCCGCCGGCAAAATGCGCTGGGCACCGCTCGTGTTGTCGGCGCTGCTGTCCGTGGCGGCGGCCGGTCGAGATCTCGGTCACGCTGGCAAGCGCCACAAGGAGCACTCAGAGGCGAGAGCGGAGCACGCTTCGCCCAGAGACCACTTTGCCGACGGCCTCCCGCTGCTCGACCGCCAGGCCAAGAGTGGCCCCTTGTTTCTGAACGCCAACACGTCCAGTCAGTATATCTTTGAGGGGGTTCCCCAATACTGGTCCAGTCAGACTAACACGGCACCGCTGTGCAGAATTTGCCGTCGACGGCAAGAAGATTCCCGATGTCAACTTTGACGTCGGCGAGTCGTACGCCGGGTCTCTGCCCATCAGCAGCGACCCCAAGGAGAAGAGCAATCTCTTCTTCTGGTTCTTCCCCTCGACCAATCCGGCCGCCAAGAAGGAGATTCTCATCTGGCTGAACGGCGGTGTAAGTGAAGCAATTTACTATTTAGTTGCAGATACATCCGGCTGACACCTCATCATCATAGCCTGGGTGTTCGTCCTTCGAGGGACTGCTCCAGGAGAACGGGCCGTTCGTGTGGCAGTACGGCACGTTCAAGCCCGTGGCCAACCCGTGGAGCTGGACCACGCTGACCAACGTAGTGTGGGTCGAGCAGCCCGTCGGCACCGGCTTCTCAACCGGCAAGGTCACGGCTACGAGCGAGGAGGACGTGGCCAAGCAATTCCTGGGCTGGTTCAAGAACTTTGTCGACACCTTTGGCATGCACGGGTACAAGGTGTACATTGCCGGCGAGTCGTACGCGTGAGTGTTCCCATCCTATCTATCTAGCTGTAGTCGTGAGGAAGTGAGAGAAAAAGGCTGACACTCACCGCAGCGGCCTGTACTGCCCGTACATAGCTAGCGCCATGGTCGACGCCAAGGACACGACGTACTACAAGATCTCGGGCATGGTCATCTACGACCCCGTCATCACGTGGGACGAAGTTCAAGAGCCGATCCCGACGCTGCAGTTCACCGAGTACTGGGGCGGGCTGTTCCCGTTCAACGAAACGTTCCGCGCGCAGCTCAAAGCGGCCGACGCCAAGTGCGGCTACTCGGCCTGGGTCGACAAGTACCTCGTGTACCCGCCCAAGGGCCACATCCCCATGCCACTCCCAGGAACCGGCAAGGACGGCAAGACGACTGACGAGTGCTGGAACATCTACTGGGGGGTCTGGGACGCCATCACGTGGATCAACCCGTGCTTCGACATCTACCAGGTGGCCACGACGTGCCCGCTGCTGTGGGACGTGCTGGGCTTCCCCGGGTCCATCCCCTACCTGCCCGACGGCGCCGCCATCTACTTTGACCGCGCCGACGTCAAGGCGGCCATCCACGCGCCCAATGTGACTTGGGAGGAGTGCTCGAGCAACGAGGTCTTCGTCGGCGGCGTCGACAAGTCCCTCCCGTCGTTCCTGCACGCCATCCCCAACGTCGTCGACAAGACTAAGAACGTCATCATCGCGCACGGGGCGCTGGATATGATCCTGCTGGCCAACGGCACACTCCTAGCCATCCAAAACATGACGTGGGGCGGGCAGCTGGGCTTCTCGCGGCGGCCGACGGACCCGTTCTACGTGCCGTACAACGATCACGCCGATTCGGATTCAACGCTCGCAGCGGGTGGCGTGTTCGGCTCCGTGCTCACGGAGCGCGGGCTGTCGTACGTCGGCGTAGATCTGGCCGGGCACATGATCCCGCAGTACGCGCCGTCAGCCGCCTACCGCCAGCTCGAGTTCCTGCTGGGCCGCGTCGCCTGCCTCAACTGCACGGCGCCCTTCACGACTGATGTCAAGGCCCCGCAGAGCGCGCAGCGCCTCGGCCTTGGGACTGCGCCCCAGGGCTGGAGTACCGCCTCGTCGCATCCGCATGGGCCGGGCCGCCGCAGGGCGCAGAAGATGAAGAAGTGAGGCGCTGGGGGAGTGGCAGGTGGAATGGTAGTAGCTAATCGTACAAATCAACACAAGTATAAAAGGGGCGGTGAAGTTAGTTAGTCAGTTACAGAGTACGATCAGCTACTCTATAAACATACTCTGTAAACTAACTCTATAAGCTCACTATAATGCAATTATGGCGGGACAAGATTCACATCCTGTTGGGATTAATATTGATCTCTTGTACGTCTGGACTAGGTATCCATCTAAATATCCATCGACCTGTCTTGTCTTGAACTATCACAGAGTGGCAGAGATAGCCACTGGGCCCTATCCCCATTGATAATCGTGTCTCAACACACACCACCAGTCATCATCGAAAAGAAGAGTCAGGCTCAAAAGTCAAAGCTCGAATTTGGAAAATAGCAAGAAGCTATGTACCTCCATACTTCCTAGCATGATTTGAGCACCATGATCAGCCAAAAATAGCCGCAAGACCCCAAAGAGCCCACGTAGACCTGGCAGCCAGCCTCTCCTGCCCCACACCAGCCATGGCATACAGAAGCGTCGGCAGTCTCTCTTCCTCGTCAGTGCTTCAGCGGTGCCCGACCCAGACGCCCCCGTCCCTTGTCCTCCAAAGGCACATGCCGTGCAGCAGTCAGCCAACGTCCCTTTTGTGTGCGCGCGAGTGAAGAAAACAAGCCACAAGCTGGCTGCGCATAACGAGAAGGGAGGAGAATACTGTACATAGAAAACCCCACATAAAGATGGCACGGAAGAACCAAAGGGATGGGAAGATAACAATGGACGATGGTCGCAACATCGGTCCACTCACCCCCTCCGCTTCAATTCTCTCTTCTCGAGCAGCAAAAGAAAAGCCATAAAAAAGACTAGAGTATCACAAGAAGAAAAAAGGTAGTTTTCGTCTCCATTTTCCTCAGAACCCATCGCGTTCGTGTGTGCAGAGGCTGAACACAACTGACATTAACAAAATCCGGAAAAAATGAGAAGAAACCAAAAAAAAAACCCTCCCGTCGTCGCCATCGTTTCGTAGGTATGTATGTACAACAGCAACATGCTGCTGCGTTTTGATTGGAGGTGGTAGGTGGGTATGCGTGAAACTTTATTTATCAAGACAGGTAATCGTACAGTAGATACAGTGTGAGCGAGATGGCGCCGAGCACGCGCGGAAAGAGTAGGTCGGAAAAGGAGGCGTAGTTGTGGGCTCCTTCCTCCACTCCTCATACTTTGTTATTGCCTGCGCTGCGACAGACTCAAATATTCACCGACCCTGTTTTGTGTATATAAAAATAGGGGGGAGGAGTGGAGACAGATATCTTCAGGGAAGGGAGTTGGTGCCGGTTCGAAAAAATCCAAGCAATTGAGATGTAGTCGTCTCAACTGGACTTGCAGTATTTGGTTGAGCTGACGCGGCTGTCGTAGGCAAGGGATGTAGGGAGGTGTTCAAAGAGGTTTCTTGTTGTTCGGGCACAAACCGCCAGGCAAAGCCAGCCCGTCTTGGCTTCGGCCACAACGATCGAGGCGCATCTTTTCAGACGGCCTCCATGCTACGTTCCCGAGCCATCTTCCGGAGCTCGAGAACGCCAATGATTCCCGTCTGGCGCAGCCGCTCCAGTATCATGCGCATGCCCTCGCGGCTCTTGCCGAGCTGGTCCTGCGTTTTGGTCGAGGCGAGGGACTCGATGGTCCGCTGGACGCCGCGAGCGCCGAACCGGGAGAGCCAGCCATCCTGCTGGCCATGGTTGCTGGCCGAGTCTGTTGGCGCAGCCGCTGTGGTAGCCGCAGCCGAGGACGGATGGCCGAGGCGGTCCCTGATGCGCTCCCCGAGACGCGAACGGAACACCACCTTGGTCTCGACGTCTGTGGTCCCACCAGACGCATGATTGGCCGCGCGCGGCGCTACGTACATCTGTCGCTCGACGACCGAGAGCACGCCAACAAAGTTGAGATTCCGGCTCTCGGTCGACATCCACCCTTCCCGCATGTCGACGACGCTCGACTCGAGAATATACGACGCCTTGTCGGCAGCGCCGCCGCCGGTGAGGCTGGTGGGCAGCAGCTTCATGACGGCTGGCGGCATGCGGGACTTCTTCAGGTGGATGCGCGTCGTGTGCAGCCGGCCCGTCTCCGGGTCGACGTGCGACGAGATGGTGTCGGTGCTGAGCACATGGCTGGCGAACGGGTTGAGTTGCGGGGAGCAGTACCGCAGGAAGAAGGCGAGCGTCACCGTCGGGAAGGGATGGCTGTACGTATGGTTGGTAGTGTGTGTGAGCACCATCTTGGGCGTTTGTATCGCGAGTCAGTAGAGGCGGGATGCCTGGTTTGACTGTATGAGATACAAATGCAGTCAACAATGGATGGGTAGGTATTGGCCTTGGTGCTGCGGTGGCGAAGAGCGGCCGGCGGGCCTGGTCGGCAGATCGGGCGGAAAGTTTGCGAGACTAGCCGTTGATACGTAGCTAAGCTGCGAATACGTAGCTCAATCGGCGAGTGTGAGAAGCTCACGGTTTAGGTAACTAGTTTGTCATTTGGAGATGCTTGTTGTTCCCGAGCGAGCCGTCGAACTCTTGCTCGGGTTTGCAGCCGAAAGCTGGCGAGTGCAGTTCCTGATTAGTGCGTTCGCTGTGGATTGTTTGAGGGAGCGAAATGGAGAGGATGGTGGTGCCCCATGCGAACGAACGAGCTATGGCCCCCCGGATATACCTTGGATTGATGCACCACCTCAGGGAAATATGTATGGCCGGAGAGGAGGGGGGTTGCGCAACTGTGACGATCACATTCTTTGAGAGTGGTTCGAGGCACAGAAATCGAAGCCTCTCGAGCCACGCCAGGCCCGCTGCCATGCGACCCGCCCGCGCCTGAACTCGGCTCCATAACTTTGCCGCGGCCTGCACATGGCACAGCGAAAGCTTGCAGAGACCCAAAATTCAGAACTAAAACCATCAAGTGTGCATCACAATCCATGAGAACATGAAATTATTTCATTAACCTTCCTAACAATCTAAGGGTCAGTAAATCCGTGACAAGAAAGGTCTGCTGATAGTATCCCGAGTCTATTTGACAAAGGTTAGGTTACAAATCAGCTGGCGAGAATGAAGCTTCCTTGGCCCGAGCTCATTGGCTGGAAACCTTCTTGAAGCCTCAACGGTCAGGCAGGAAGGCAAATTACGCCAAGGCAGCCCAGCCCCTGGTCAGAGGAATACGCACGGAGCAACGAGAATTATTAGTCACCGCCACCAGCCAAAGCTGTCAGATCCGCTCCACTCCCCTCGCATTCCTCCCCCGTAACCTCTCCGCGACAAGCTTTGGCGGCACCTGAAAAATTCGGCGAACTGGTGAGAGGACGCCATCTGCTCTTTTCCTTCTTCCTGTGCTCTTTGCCACTTTTTCCCACACAAGTCGGCATTCGCATCTCGCGACCGTTTTTCTTTGCTCCGCAGCGACCGTGACGTAGAGGGACAAAGCGCCGTGGCCCACGATACGAAAGAGAACGACACGACACACGACCATCAGCCCTTCCCCTTGCTAATTCATTACGATCGCGTTTTCCATCGCGCGCCCGTCGCCGACCTTCTGTGCACAAGGCCTGCTTTCCGCCCGGACTTGAGGCTCGGATTTCTTCTGGCGCTTCTGGCTAACTGAAGGTGTTCTGAATCGCTGGCAGTGGTTTATGGTGCTATTCAGGAGGACATTGCGGTTCCGCCATTCTTTCTCGTTTGAATAGTCAGCCGTGCTTTTCGCTGGTTCTTTGTACTTTCCTTTACATCCGCTAAACCTCCGTGCATAAAGCGCTTTTATTGTCTCGTCTTCGAGAACAATCAGAATTGACTCCCGTCCAACTTCTGCAAGTTGAAGAAAAGAAGAGACAAGAAAAATATTCCACTCTGCCAAAGAAGAGCCCCACACACAGAGAGAGAAACCCCCGTCACGCTCTAGATTCCTTTCGCGATTGTGCGGGACAAGTCTCGAGAGACTGTTTTCCTATACTCTTTGCGTTAAAAAGACGTTTTTTCTAATCCACAGCATCAACTACTCTGGGCTTGGTGCTTCCTTCAAGACCATCCCCGTGTGCTGTTCTCCCCTTTATTCGTACCGCTGTAATACGACCTTTCACCAACTACAACCACCATGGCTTCCTCGGTCTTTTTCAAGTTCAAGTCTCAGAAAGAGCCGACGCGCGTGGCGTTTGATGGCACGGGCATTTCTGTCTTTGAGTTGAAACGTGAAATCATCCTGCGGAGCGGACTCGGCGATGGAACAGACTTTGACCTCGTTATCTGCGCAGACGAGGGCATGAAAGAAGGTAAGCGCGCAGTCGCGGTAGCTCCGACACAAACGAGAGGACGCACAAGAACTAATTGCGGCGCAGTCTACGATGATGACACAACCATCATCCCGCGGTCGACGACCGTCATCGCACGCCGTATGCCTCCCAAGATCCAGGGGAGAGGCGGTGCTGCTCGATATGTCTCGGGCAAGATGCCCGCTCACGCCAAGAACTCGTCAAGAAAGGAGCACATGGCCAAACCAGTCGCCAAGCCGCAATCCACCACCATGGCTCAGCTGAGCAGCGCCATGACAGAAGAAGAAAAGATGGCGGCAGTCTTCCAGGCCCAGACAGAGCTCTTTAGTTCTCGAGAAGAAGAGATGGCCACGTATGTTTTCTACCCCCTCACCTTTTTACGCCATGTGCTGACAAGACCCTAGACAGCAATATGTGGGCAAGGGAGGCCCGAAGCGGCCTGCCAACGTTCCCGACCATGACCCCCCTCAGGGCTACATCTGCTATAGGTGCGGCGAGAAGGGGCATTGGATCCAGCTATGCCCTACCAACGACAATCCGGAATACGACAATCGCCCGCGTGTCAAGCGGACCACGGGGATTCCCAAGTCCTTCCTCAAGACGGTCGATAAGGCGACGGCATTGGGACAGAACGCTGACGGCGACGACTCTAAGACGCCTTCTGGCATCATGGTCAACGCCGACGGAGAGTTCGTGATTGCTGAGCCTGACAAGGCGGCTTGGGAACAGTTCCAGGCAAAGGCCAAGTCGAATGCCGCCGCTCAGAAGGCCGCTTCCGATGGAGACAAAGAAGTCCAGGAGCGAGGCTTGGAATGCCCTATCGACAAGAAGATGTTCATAGACCCAATGAAGACTCCGTGTTGTGAGAAGACGTATTGCAACGATTGCATCACTAATGCCCTCATTGAGAGCGACTTCGTCTGCCCGGGCTGCAAGACTGAAGGCGTACTCATCGATGACCTAAAGGCCGACGACGAAGCCGTCGAGAAGATGAAGGCGTACCTTGCCGAGAAGGACAGTAAGACCAAGACAGGATCAAAAAGCCCGTCGCCGCCAAAGTCGCCAACGGCAGCCAATGGAGACGCCACCGACACCAAGACGGAGGCCGCGAAAGCCAAGTCCAAGTCTCCAACTCCCCTAACCGTGGCCGTCGCGATAGCACAACCGGCCCAAACTACCCAGGCATTAGCGTCTGCCACATCACAACGCAGCACAGCGGGTACTCCTACCAATGGCGAACAGCAGATGCAGCTCGCTAAGAAACGGCCTGCCGAAGACACTGCGGAGAATCCCAAGATACCCAAGGCCCCTAAGGCGATGCAAAAGGCACATGAAACCCAGCAGCAGCAAGCCATGATGGAGCAAATGATGAGTGGTATGAACGGCATGAACGGAATGAACGGCATGGCAGGCATGGGAGGCATACCTGGTATGAACGGAATGAATGGCGTCGGCGGCATGAACCCAATGGGTGGAATGCCCATGATGTTTCCCGGTATGCCCATGATGGGCAATTACGGCGGCATGGGCATGCCCAACATGAACATGCCCAATATGAACATGGGCATGGTGAACCCCATGATGAACCCCATGATGGCCGGCGGCATGTCTGGCTTCCCAGCCATGAACAACATGAACGGCGGATACGGCGGCATGCCCAACGGCAACGGCATGTGGGGAGGCTCGGACATGGGCATGGCGATGAACCAGGGCGCTGCCGGCAACGGGGTCGGTCCGAACGGAATGAACGGCATGAACGGCATGAACGGCATAGGCCGGATGAACAATGGTGGCCAGGCCGGCTTCCAGCAGCAGCCACATATCGGCCAACAGAATCATCAACAACAACCACAACAACACCACAACCAGCAGATGCAGTTGCAGCAGCAGCAGCAGCAACAGCAGCACCAACAACAAATCATGCACAAGAACTTCTCCCACCAGCCCGCAGACGACGACGATGCCTACTTTCGCAAGCCAGTGAACCCCCACCGCCACCAGAACCGACAACGCCGTGTGCGCCCCAGCGACTACCGCGAGTTATAGAGAGGGAGACAACCGTGGGATTGGTGTTCCATTCTCTCCTCTCCTCAGTCTTACCCTCTCTAGATGCCAACTGCTGGGCGGACTAAGCAAGCGCGTGGCAGCAACCTTCTACACTCACCCCCCCTTTTCCACTAACAATCCACGAAAATACCAAAAAAAGCATGGCACGAGGTATATTCACGTGGGCTTTGGGAGAGTAACAACGGGGCGTTTTGTGTCTTTTTTTTTTATATAACCCCTTTTTTCTCTTCTTGTGTTTCTTTTTGTCTTCATTTTCTCTCTAGCCTTCTTAGGAAAACGGCAACTACTTCTTTTATTTTCCGCATTTGCATTGGGACGGACGGTCGGACAGACGGGTGGCTGCAGGGCATTTTGGCGTCGATGTTTCTCTTTTTCTTCTCTCTCTCTTCTTGGGGGTAGATGGGTTGGCAACTGAGGGAAACGGAGCGGAAGAGACCAAACCCATTGGGGAAAAAACGGAGCGGTATTATATACCCTAAGGAGCCTACCTAACACCATACATACCCCCCTATATAATGCTGGGCTTTTCGACTACGACACGAGATAAGACAGGCAGCGACTGAGGAAAAGCAGACAAAAAAAGGGGGTGGGAGGAGGGAGGAGGAAGGGGGGGGGGGTTTGGAGATGCCCAAGGAATGATGCGTTTGGACATTCCGACTATACATATTTTATTTTATACCACCGGATACGCTATACCACACGGATTCGCTTTCCGTATTCTCTCTAGCTGTGTATGACAACAAGCTACGTACTACTACTCCTGTGTCTTGTCTTGCAACTCGAGTTCTCGTGATCGATTATCCGAGACACGTGTCTTGATATCTCCCGGTCTTTTTTCATGCCACAAATCAGATTGACACAGAAATAGCAGTGTCTCTTTTTAACTGATTTATTTTTGATATTCCTAATGCCTCAAGATGCATGGACCGCTGCACGTGAAGAGCACCCCGACAAGATATCTGTCTCGCTCTTTTGTCTTTGCTATCCTCAGCGGATGCTTCATGGGTGATATTCCATCACCTGTAGCGGGCAGCCACAGCGACGAGCTAGAGCGGGCCTCGGCTTCCACGCCAACCTATATATGCATCCCGCTTTGTGCCGCTGCAAAAGCCAGTTCTCCCATGCAGTATTTGACCGCTCGTTGTGCGCTCTTTTGCTTGTCCTCCTGTGTCGTTTGGCCTCGCATATGGCATGCATGCCTCACGAAGGGGGCACGAAGGGCTTGACGAGCATCTCGCTAAAATTTTCCAGCCTCTCCTTGCCGCGCACCTCCTCGACGAGCAGCGGCATTTTGACCACGTTGAATTCGTCGTACAGCTCCTCGATCTGGTCGAGGTACTTCTTCTGCATGCGGCGGCGGGCGGTGCACTGCTCGCAGTCGGAGCCGGCCTTGGGGAAGAGCAGCTGGTTGACGACGATGCTGTGCGTGTCGATGCCGTAGCTGGCCAGCTCCTGGATCATGCGTTCCGTCTCGTACAGCGACAGGAACTCGGGGATGCACACGCACACGAACGTGGTCAGGCGTTCGTCCTTGAACTGCGTGTTGACCTCGGAGATGGTGGCGCGCAGCGCCTCGAGCTTCTCCATCATCTCGGGCAGGCTCTGCCCGTTGGGAAGCGCGCCGTTGCCGCCCAGGAACCCGTTCAGCAGCGGGCCGTACTGCGTCGACAGCTGCGATACCTTGGCCAGCGCCTTCTCCAGCACCGACGGGAATTGCAGGAACCGCAGCGTGTGGCCCGTCGGCGCCGTGTCGAAGATGATGGTCTCGTACGACAGCGACTTGACCTGCTTCAGAACCTCGGCGAACGACATGGCCTCGTCGATACCGGGTATCTAGAGTTGGCGTTGTCAGTTGGTTCCCATTCTCTTCAAAGCTTTGGTGGTGCCCTCCATCAGGAACCTACCGCGAAAGCCAGGTCCTGCATCATGCTGCCCATGCCGCCCATCTCGCCGCTGTCTGTCTCGCCCTGACCAGCGAGCAGATCCTGGATGCTGCCGTTAGGGTCGATCTCCATAGCACTGAGATTTTCGAAGCCGTCGATTAGGCGCGCCTCCTTGCCGAACTTTTGACTGAAGGCATCGCTAAGGTTATGGGCGGGGTCTGTCGAAATCAGAAGCACCGACCGGCGCACCTTGGCCAGCTGGATAGCGAGACTACACGATGTCGTCGTCTTGCCCACGCCGCCCTTGCCGCCAACAAAGATCCAGCGCAGCGACCGCTGATCCAGGATCGACTGCAGCGTCGGCTCGAGCGCGTCGGGGTCGTCGATGTTAATGAGTGTGGCCGACATTGCAGTGTGTGTGTGTGTTGACAGAGTGCGAAATGCAGTCGGAAATCGAAGAAAAAGTGTCCAACTTCTCGATCAGCGAAGGGATGTCGGATGTTTGTCTATCCGTGAGGCGTCGAGAATAGCGACAACAAATTCGGCGTTTAAAAATGGCCAGTTCGAAAAGAAGGACGAGAATGACAATCTACTTGCTGGCACACCTTGCTGTCTGTCCTGTTGCTGGTGGTGGTTGCCTTTTCGCTGCCTTGGAAACTGGTCGAATCTCAAAGTCGCTCGGGACTCGATCCGACCAGAGCAGGTGGTGGTCTGGCCGCTGGTCTTGGCACCCCTCTGCCCAGCCACAACGTCACTTGGGTCTCTGAGCTTTAGTGCTTTACAGGGGGTTACAATGGTGGCAGGGGTTCGAAGTTTGGGTGGCTTGGCATTTGGAGACAAACGTCTTTGCGGAACAACCTTCAGCGCAACCACAGCCGAGTGTTGTCTTGCGCACAGCATGGAGGACTTCCATCCAGTTGGGATTGACGAAAAAGGGGGCTATGAGTGATTGCAAAGCGCCATTTTATCTGTCCGAAAGAGGAGCAGAAGCAATTTCTCGGCATAACCCCGAGTTTCGGAAGACACAGACTCGAACCCAACCCAGACTCTGAGCCCCAGCCGAGGTGGAAACACATCTCCGTAGCCTCGATGTGGCCGCCGCGGGATCGCCCGACATTCAATGTAAACCCCGGATAGCATCGTGTATAACGGGGCGGGCAGTGTTTGTTTCTATTTTCATCTCGAGGCATGTATAATCTCTGCTCACGGTGGCACAGATCAGCTAAGCAGCCTGCGTCAGCAAGCACACCGCCGCCCATTGTGATTGTGCGTCCTACCTATTACAGACTCAGACTCTCAGCAACTCGAAGCATTTCGTTGTTGCTGTGGCCCAGCTGGTGGCCCCCAAATTGCCGTGTAGCAATGGACGTCCGGTGTTGAACGCGGGCTGGCGGGATGCGGCAGACCCCGACTGCTGCCTGTCCCTGTGCTGCTGGCTGGCGCGGCGGGTTTGCCCCTGGGCAGGGCAGTCAAGGTGGGGTTTAGGTGCGGTGCAATAGCAGCTAAGGCACGGCGGAGAGGCCATGTTGTCGTACAGCTTTTTCAGGTAGCCCAGCGGCGAGAGGGAAATTGAAGCGTGAGGTGCACCTAGCTAGATTCCTCTGGTGTATAAAGGGGTCCACGGAGCATCGAAAGCAACCAGTGGGTTTCAGCTAGTCGGCCTCGGAGTAGTGTCAGTGGCTCTCCCCAGGCTCTCCACCCCCAGATCCCCCAATTCCTTATCGCCTCTAGATAAACCCCGCAACTTGGACACTACTACCCCGCCACAGCACCGCAGACAAAGCTCGCGACACAGCACGTTGCAACTTGGGCGCGGCCTCGCCATATATCCCGTCTTTCTAGCCTTGGTGTCTCTGCTCCCAAGCTCAGAGAGAACACAACCAGCCAAGAAAGAAAAAAAAGGAAAGAAAAAAATGGCCACCAAAGACCGCATCACCTGCCACGTGCTCGACACGACCGAAGGCAAGCCGGCGCGCGGGATGCGCGTGCGGCTGGAGCTGACGCCGACGCCAGCACTACCGTCCTCCTCCTCGACACCCGCGGCAGCGACCAGCACGGCAGCAATAACACACCACCACGCGGCGCCGGCCCCGCGTGAGTTCGAGAGCCAGACGGACGAGGACGGGCGCATCAAGGCGTGGCTGCCGTACTCGTCGGCGACGAGCTCGGGCGAGGTGCCCGTGTACACGCTGGAGGACGTGCTCGGGGCGCTCGACGCCGACATGCCGAGCCGCTGGACCCTGCGCTTCGACACGGCCGGCTACTTTGGCGAGGACAAGACTTTTTTCCCCGAGGTCACCGTCGTCTTCCGCGTCGAGCCCGGCGCCACCTACCACGTGCCCCTGCTGCTATCGCCCTACAGTTACACGACGTACCGTGGGAGCTGAAGGGGGGGAGTTGGTGTTCTGGAATGGGGGGAGGGGGAGAGGAATTGAGTTGGAGAAAGGTGTTCCTGAGAGATGATGGCGGGAAAGGAGACAGACAATATCCCACTGTTTCCTTCCCCCCTCCCCTTTTCCTTCTGTTTCTTTTGGGGGTTTTCTTTCTCTGCTAGTCAACTCAAAGCCAGCTATCTGAGTTGCACGACGCAGACAGACAGGCAGGCAGGCAGCCGCAGCGATAGGGCGCGCGAGAGAAGCAAAGCGAGCGTGCATGCTAAATCAACTTTTTGAAGAAAACCGAAATCCCGCGAAGAACATGGCACGACACGCATGATAAACTGGACTTGGGGACTTTGAATAGAGCTTGAGAAACCACGGTCTTGGTGTTGCTACCTACCTTCTCAAGTACAATACCAAGACAAGTTTTGCGGATGTCTCCTGTTCCCACCGTTCACACACAAAAACTAGCGGTGTTGACATGCAATTGAAGTTCCAATGTTGTTATTTCTGTGATCTTATTCAATGTTTTGTAATTTCTTACTTTCTTTAAAAGTGTATGCATTAAAAGAAAAATAAACCGCAGATGTCTCAGTAAAAGAAATTCACCACTCTCAGTCCGTGTCTCTATCCGGATGATCGTGGTGTGGTATATCCTCCCTTCCCCCCTTTCCTATCAATCCAAGTGAATGAATTGTTGCGTCAACCCGGCTCTTTGATACTCACACACATACTCACACGCACAATAAAAAGTACGCCGGTCTGGGCGCCCTTTCTTTCCTTGGACGGCCCACCCCTCTTGATAGCGTTTGTGTGTCTCTCTCCTTTTCCTCCTTGGTGTATACATAGCATTAAAATCGTCAAGTACATAAATGGCGTAAATATACGACGCTGTCGCAGTGTCATCATATGTCTGTCTATCCCAGTCGCCCGGGACCAGACACCTCCCCCCATCACCAGATCCCTTCCCTTTATATATTTTTTTCTCGATACCCGAAAAAGAAAAAAAGGCCATGGAAGAAAAATCCGATACTCCTCGCTTTATCCCAAAACCAACCCCCGCTGCTGTGGAAAGTAAAATTATTAAAAATAGTTATGTGTTTTCGTCCTCGTCCCTCCGCATCTATCAGTATTAATAGGGGTTCAACGCTTGCGAGATTCGATGTCGGGCAAGCTCTCGAGCAGCTTTTCGTAGAGCAGGCGGCTGCGGAAGCTGTTGTTCTCGTCGTCTTCTTGCGACGACTCGCTCGAGTCGGTGGTCGACCGCCGCATGGTGGTCGACGAGGCGGCGTCGCCGTCGGCGTGGATCTCGATCGGGGCGGACACGGCGGGCGCGGTGCGGCGGAGGAAGAAGCCGCGCGACGTCTCGGTCAGGGTGCCCGCCAGGCTCGTGATGTCGACGAGCTTGCCGCTCGTGACGCGGTTCTTCTTCTCCCTGCGCGTCTGGCTGAACGACGGCGTGCGGTAGTGCAGCTCCAGGTCGTGGTTCCACCGCTGCTGCCGGTCGAGGTCCTCCTGTGTGAGCACGCCCCCGATTACTGCATCCGGATGCCTCCACGTTGCTGAACAAGAAGAGATTCGGTCAGCAAAGTGGCTCTAACAGAAAAGGCAAGGGGGGAATCGTCTGCAACGTACTTCCGTTTTTAAACCCGTCGGAGAACCCCGTGTCGTCGGTGTGACTAAAGCAGATAGGTGTCTCGGGCATCGTGTCGATATCGGGCGTGTGCAAGTTCTGGGAGCTTTTCCCAAATAACCTCCCCGTGAACAGTCTCTTGGGCGGCCGTGGCCGTTCTTCTGCGGCGGACATGACGGGCGAGCTGGTCAAGCTGGGCGCCGGGGGCGAATGGTGGCTATAAATATAGTGTTTTTTGTTCAGAAAGTGTGCCTGCCTGCGGGCCGCGGAAATAAGAGAATCGAATCAAAGGAAAAAGGTTAAAGGCGTTCCGTCACTTGGACTTTCGGAAAGACCGGCAGCCAGCAAGTCTCAGGAGCAAGTCACACAAACAAGGCGGCGCGCGGTTTGAAAAAGATGAAGGGGGCGCGAGTTGAACTTTGAAGAATAAGCACGCCTCCAGTGAATACCAGCTTCGATTTCACAAAGCCGAAGGCCGCCGTCTGTGTATCATGGAGCAAAGAAGGGACGGCTTTTGAAGAAGAAAACGAAATCAGCAATTTGAAGAACAGAGAAAAGGCTTCTAAGCTTTGCGGCTAAAGCCTTGCCGGGCAGGGGCTTTGGGTTTAAAGGGCCATTTTGGCGGTGCAGGTGCGCTTGCATCCGTGAATCGGCCACTTTCGGGCTGACGCGGGAATAGAGTCTTGAAGGCACGGCCACAAAAGGTGCTGGTTTGATCCATGTCATAGACGCAGCTCTCACACGCAACGCTGGGCGTGGCCACAGATGGGCCGCCTGTCCGGTGAGAGGGAACGCGAGACGGGTTGGCCTCTTGATGCTCGGCCAGCGGCCCAAATGGGTGGAACATAACGGTGCAGACAAGCCAGTGGCTGACATGGAAGCTCGACGAGTTGGAGCCGCCTCCGTTGTAGCGTACCTAATCAAGGTGAGGGAAAAGAAGTGGAGCACGTCCGACGCCATGCCGGTGAACTCTGGCTTTGGCTTGGCTTGGCTTGGCTTGGCTTGGCTTGGCTTGGCTTGGCTTGGCTTGGCTTGGCTTGGCTTGGCTTGGCCTGGCCAAAAAGCCCGGTTGTCGGTTCGGGGCGGGCTCGAATGGATGTGAATGACTGAACGCTGGCTGGACAAGACAGGCGCGCGGCAGGCCAATGGCGCGGCCAGTGGGGATCAAGCGGCTGCTGTTTCGTTCTGGGTCGGGCAGCGACCCTGCCAAGCCTCGAATCGCCGTCGAATTCGGATGCCGCGACAAGTACAGGATGCAAGTTGCGCCGTGCCTCTGAAGGTACGCGTATGCAAAATGGACGAATAATCGACGGCGAAGAAGTGAGGCCAGAGGTACTGTGTAGGAAACAGAAGGCTCTACCGTCCTGCACAGAGGAGAGAGATGTTGAGGGCCACGGGGGGAGGCGTATGCTTTAAGTCGAGGCCGGGGCCAAGGAAGGCGGCCGTAGAGCCTGTCAGAGACTTTGCCACTCGCAGAGAGGAGAGACACAGCCCAGCCCGACTGCCTTAAGTCTACTTTATGGCGCAAGAGAATGTGCAAAATGTGCAAACCAACACGGAAGGAGGCACTTGCCTACACCCGTCGAGGTCGGCCATTGGTTGTTGACTATGGTTTGCAGCATGCACCAGCGCCAGTCTGCACGACTGAATGCTGACCAGAAGTGCGGGGTGGAGTTTTGACCTTTTCTCATGCGCCTGTATCTGTATGTCCCATGCATGTCTGGGCTGGGCAGGTTTACTGGTTCTGACCGGAAATACTGTCGTTCTTGGGGAGTGGATGACCGCCTTCCAGATTTGCCTTTAGAGCCCAACTCTGGAAGATGCTACGTATGGACTCGGAATTTCAGACCCAAGGACCGAGTGAACGCGCTTGTTAAGGCAAGACCCGTGGGTTGGGTACGTAAGGTAGGTAACAATAACCTGTTCATGATGACGGAGCCGTATGCAAGGCATGTGTATATAGGAGTCTGTAAAAGGCGGTAAGAGCACCAGACAAGCCGTCCCATGGTGAGTGACATGCATTATTTACGCCGCGGCGGTGCCGAGTACAGGCTGCTTCTTGCTTGCGGGGTGACGGCTCCTCTCCAGTCTTGGAGAGGGAGCAGAGGGCTATCTATGCCGCTTCAATATGCCAATCGCGAGAGAGTTTAAGACTGCATGTCTCAGTCTCGAAGCATGCCGTGCTGAGTTTTGAGCACAAGACGGGTCATCCAGCCTCAATGGCAACGAATGGGTGGCAGAGTATGAGGGTGATTGGCCGTACAAAGGCGGCAGAAACTCTCGGGAATCCACACAACTCGAGATTCGATACCGAGGCCGTGAAAGTCGAGCTCTTTCCAGTGAAGTCAAATACAAATGTCGGGGTTGATGTTGGCCTGTCTCGGCTTGGCTGTATTGCACGGTCTGCCCGAAACCTAAGGGCGGGGAGACCGCAGCCTTCCAGTGTTACTGACCTCCAATGCCCTTGAATCATTTCGATTCAGAGGATAGCATGAATGATATCCTGACAAAACAGGGAGCAGAGCCAAGGAGACCAGATGTAGGCTGAGAGAAAAGAAAGCCTCACAAGGTGGTAGATTCTTACCATTGTAGGGAGCTCCAGCTCTAACCCTAGGATTTTGTTAGGACAGTCAGCACGTGCCCCAGCATTGGAAGCTCTCAGCTCCCCAGACTCGAGACGTCCACGTTCAAGGTCCTTCCTCGGATTCCCGGTAGAGACGGCGAAGCAAATAGGAAATCTCCTCTTTATAAGGCGCCGTATAGATGTAAATGGCGATGCATGTATATAAAAAGGAGAGAAGAATGTTTGGATGAGAAGGGACTGGCTAGCGGCAGTCCATGGGCTGGAAATGGCAGGCGCCCCTGAACAATTGACGGCACGCACGGGCCACGGCAACTTCCGGCGCATGCTTTTGAGGCGAGGTGGCATGAGGTAAATGCGTTCAGGCCATATTTCGCTATTTTGCTTGCTTCAATTGCTTGCTGCCACGCGATCCATCCATCATCACCCATCCTCTCAAAACCCCATCTGCGCGACATTGGTTCACCCCCATTGCCACCTGAGCGCCAGACCGTAAAAAGAAGTATTCAGGAGTTTCTGTCAACGTCGACTTCGATCTATTGCAGAAATGGCCGACCAGGTGCAGGAGATCCTCGACGTTCCTAGGGAGTTCGTCCGGGACGGCATCCAGTTCATCAACAAGTCGCAGAAGCGTGAGTCGCGCTCCTCTCTCCCGTCGCTGTCTCTCAGAACTGGCAGGCGCTGACTCGAAACCCCCGACACACAGCCGACCGACGCGAATTCATCCAGATCTCAAAGGTAGGTGACCTCGCGACGGAGAGCTGCAGAGACAAGAGCAACTTTTAGCTGGGCGAGCTTGGCTAATGCAGTAGCAATCTAGGCTGTCGGTGTCGGCTTTCTGAGTACGTATCCATAACTGCCAGCGCCGCGAGAGCGCCACGCTAACGTTGTGCCACAACAGTCATGGGAGCGGTCGGCTACGTCGTGAAGCTCAGTACGGACCCCCATCCCACCGACGACTGAACTCGGCCGTTAGAACTGTCAAGCTAACCCCCGCAACAGTCCATATCCCCCTGAACCAGGTGCTCGTCGGCGGCGCATAAGCGAGCGGGTTGTCGAAGGCGTGAAGAAGGTGGAAGACAGGCGAAAGGAGTTGGGGTTCAAAAGGCGGCCAGATGGGTGGCAGCATCGCCCCATACGTAAACTCGAGACTCGACGGCAGGAATTCCCCAAACACCATATTCCACAAGTTCTATCGGGAACTGGGCTAGGTCATGTTGGCGGCGCAAGCGGAAAATGCATATGGCCCCCCCCCCCATGGGACACTCGAAGGAAGGGATCTGCGGCTAGAACGCGAAGGCGTGACGGGGGAAAAAAGATCATGTCCATTCCCCTCCCCGTCTTAATATTTCGGGCGCTTGGCACGGGGAAGGGAGGTTTAAATGGCCAAGCTCTAACATTTATAATTTCTTTCCTATTGCCACTAGAGAGTGTTGTTTTTTCTAGCGCGCAATTGTACAAAAATGAATCTGTCTTGAGCGACGTCGTCCGGAATCGGTCACGGTCTACGTGGAGTGAACTGAGAACGAACTGGTAGCCACGGCTACCTATCAAAGGCACTGGGTTACCTTTTGCAAGTATTTCTCCATGGTGAGATGTTCATGGTCTTTGGGATTGCAGTGGTATTCGAAGCAAGGCGGCACCGGAGAGTGAGTAAGAAACAGAATACGCACGAGACGAAAGGTGGCTACCATACCTAGCTAGGCAATTGCGAAAAGGAGAAGAATGCCCAAAATGAGAGGAACCAATTCTGGGTATTCATTGGCCGCTGCATGGCATAACAGCATACCGACCTGGCTGGCAGTCTAGGTAAATGCCGGAGCGGATGGATGCTGTGTGGGATAGCTACCTTAAGTGCGGGCTCCGAAAGTCGCAACGGCAGAGCGCATTCATTTCTCCACCAGGAAGCGTCATGTCATGGTTTTTGGAGACGGGAGGGGAGGGGGCAGTGTCGCATTGTGAACAAAGTGGAGGGAGCTTCTGCGACGGGAATAGTAAATGTATGTACATACATACTTGGACCGCGGCTCGTGACGATGGCGAAAGGGGGGTTTTTGAGTGTTTGGTGTTGATATCTACGCACGCCACCTACTCCGTACGCCACCAAAGCATCTTGTGTGCCGTCTTTCTGTTTGCCATTTAGTGCTAGGCAGTTTTTTAACCTACCTGCTTGCTTCGTCCGACCTTGCTGCAATAAGTGCCATTTTATTCATTCTTTCCCTCTACAAGACCTTGTTTGCCTAATTACTGAACACGTCTTTGAGAATCTTGGTGCTAAATACCTACCCCGCAACCATTTCTCTGTTTCGCAGCGCAGCGCCAGAATGTCACTCCCGCCGCCGTCGGCCGAGTGGATGAAGTGGCCCAGCCGGCGCAGCGTCGTGCACAGCACCAAGGGCATGGTGGCCTGCACGCAGCCCCTGGCCGCCAAGTGCGGCATTGATATTCTCAACGCTGGCGGCAATGCTGCGGTGAGCTAGCTACCTTACCTACCCTCCCCCTAGTTCAACCTGCCCAGCACCGAAGGTTGCCTATCTTTGGGCCGAGCTGACAAAGTATTACATCTGCCGTCTGCAGGATGCCGCTGTCGCCGTCGGTAAGTTCAGTGGCCGTGGTTGTTTATTTTTTTTGCTCGTCGATTCAGGGGGGGCATTCGTGAAACCACACCCTCGAATCCCCCCTATCTTGCTTACTCGCCTCTGTCTCACACACTAACCTCTCACAACAACAAAAGCGGCCGGCTTGAACATGACGGAGCCGTGCTCGACGGGTATCGGCGGCGACATGTTCTGCCTGTACTACGACGCGGCGAAGGGGGCCGTGTCGGCGCTGAACGGGTCCGGGCGGGCCGGCGCCCAGTGCACGCTGGACACGGTGCGCCGGAGCCTCGGTGTGCCCGACGGTGTCGTCGGAAAGATCCCCATGAGCAGCGTGCACGCCGTCACGGTCCCCGGCGCCGCCGCCGGCTGGGTCGACACGGTCGACCGCTTCGGCAGCGGCCGGCTATCGCTCGCCCAGATCCTGGCCCCCGCCATCGAGCTCGGCGAGACGGGCTTCCCCGTGTCCGAGCTGACGGCTTACTTTGTAGGCTGCCCCCTTTTCGTCTGTCTGGCTGTTCAAATCCACTGACACACGCACAGTGGCAACGCGGCGAGGCGTCGATCCGCAGGGCGTCGCCCAACTTTGCCGAGATGCTGAAAGGCGACCCGGCAGCCCCGGGCGGCGTGCGCGCGCCGCGGGCCGGCGAGATCATCTGGCTGCCGCAGCTGGCGCAGACGTTCCGCGCGCTGGGCGCCGAGGGTAAGCGCGGCTTCTACACGGGGCGCGTGGCCGCCGAGCTCGTCAAGGTGTGCGGCGACCTGGGCGGGCACCTGACGCTGGCCGACCTGCAGCACCACCTTGACACGGGCAGCGAGGCCGTGGCGCCCATCTCGCTCAAGTTCTGCGGGCAAAAGCAAGCCAACGACAACGACGGCGAAAGCGGCGTCGAACTGTGGGAGCACCCGCCAAACGGGCAGGGAATCGTGGCGCTGATGGCGCTGGGGATCCTGGAGGAGCTGGAGGCGCGGGGCGCCATCGCCACGTTCGGGCCGGCCGACCACAACTCGGCGCCGTACCTGCACGCGGTGGTCGAGGCGCTGCGCATCGCCTTCGCCGACGCGAGCTGGTTCGTGACCGACGCGGACCCGGCCGTCGGCCCGGGCGTGCCGACGGCCGAGCTCCTGTCGCGCGCGTACCTCGCTGCGCGGGCGCGGCTGTTTGACGCGACGCGCGCCAGCGACATCCTGCGGCACGGCGATCCGACCTCGGGCTCCTTCGCGTCGCCGGCGCTCAGCAGCAGCGACACAGTGTACTTCTGCGTCGCGGACGCCGCCGGCAACGCCATCTCCTTCATCAACTCCAACTACGGCGGCTTCGGCACGGCCATCATCCCCGCCGGCTGCGGCTTCACGCTGCAGAACCGCGGCGCCAACTTCAGCCTGCGCGCCGACCACCCCAACGTGCTGGCGCCGCGCAAGCGGCCCTACCACACCATCATCCCGGGCTTGGTGACGAACCTCGACGGGGATGGAACCAAACCGGGGTCGCTGCACTCGGTCTTCGGCGTCATGGGCGGCTTTATGCAGCCGCAGGGCCACGTGCAGGTGCTGCTGGGCCAGCTGGTCGGCGGGCTCAGCCCGCAGCAGGCGCTCGACGCGCCGCGCGTGTGCATCGGCGCGGGCATGCCCGAGGACGATGACGGGGGCGACGACGGCGAGTACGACCGCACCGTCTACGTCGAGGAGGCCATGCCCGCGGCGACTGTCGACGGGCTGCGCGCCCTCGGCCACCGCGTGCAGGTCGTCACGGGCCACGGCCGCGCCCTGTTTGGCCGCGGCCAGATCATCAGGCGCACGCGCGACGGCGTCACCGGGGTTGGGCTGTGGTCCGCCGGCAGCGACATGCGCGGCGACGGCGCTGCGTATCCCGCGTGATCTCGGGAGCAGGCACCGAGGGAGGAAGGAAGCGGCTGTTCACTTTGTACAGTGTAAAATCATATATACAGTATATATATAATCTCCATTTTTTTTTGCCTTTCTCTGAGGGTCGTTCATTAACGTCGTGTGTATGTGTGTATGCCGGTTTTACAGATGTGACTTATGCTTGGGGGAAAGTAAATAAGGGACGGGGGCAGGGAGGGGAAGAAAGTATTGTTGGTACAATAACAAAAAACGACAAAGCCCTTGCCGTTGCCCTTGGTATCTGGTACACTGGTAAAAAAGAAAATATGCCTGCTTCTTCATCGTCAAAGGGCGGCGCCATCTCTTTCTAGACAGAAAAAGAACTCATTCCTTCTTCTCGCCGGCGTCAGCCTCGGTCGCCAGCACCTTCTTCTCGTCGAGCAGCTTGGCCAGCTCGCCGTTCTGGTGCATCGACACGATGATGTCGCAGCCGCCGATGAACTCCTTGTCGACGTAGAGCTGGGGGATGGTGGGCCAGTCGGAGAACTCCTTGATGCCTTTACGGTGTTAGCCTTTCGTCCCGAATTGTAAGAGAAACAACGCACCCTGGCGCAGGTCCTGGTCCTCGAGCACGTTGAAGGCGGCAAACTTGGCCGGGTCGACGCCCTGCAGGCCGAGGATCTGGATGCTGGCGCGCGAGAAGCCGCACTGGGGCGTCTCAGGCGTGCCCTTCATGAACAGCACCACCGGCGCCGACGCCACCGCCTTGGTGATGGCCTGCCGCGTCTGGTCCGACAGCAGCCGGCGCTGCTGCTGCGAGAGGGCGAACACGGCCGGCCGGAACATTATGCCCGCCTTGGCCGGTGTGGCCGCCGCCGCGGCTTGCCGCGCGAATTGCTTTGCGCGGTGTCAGTTTCGAGGGTTTAGGAAGGGGAGATTGGGCAAGGCAGCTGCGTTCGAGAGAGGTCGTCTCACCTTGGAAAGAATCGACCGGGAAAACATCTTGTCTGTTGTGTGGGGGTGAGGAGTTCCTGGCAGAACAGCTTTCTCGAGGGATGTGTTTACAGATTGGTTGATAAGCTGCCGTGACGAGTTGACGGCCGTTTTTTTTCGGTTTGCCCCGGCAAGTTGCACTTGCTGGAGCTTCCCTGCAGTGATGTAAGCGACCGAGCTCGGCGGTCAAACTGAGGGTTAGGGTTTCATCCTGAGCCTCGCCTTGTTCCGACGGTTTCAATCCCAAGTTTAGCAAATCTATTCACTACATTGGTCTCAAAAATAGAAAGTGCAAACCAGGAGTCTTCCAGAAAGATACCAAGGAACATATCAAAATAGACTTGCAGGTATATACAATGCAACCAATAAGCAAACGACCGACGGGGCCAGACAAGCAAAGGCCGTTACCGCGGCGCCGTTCCATATAAATATGCCCAATCCCTAATATTGTCCTCCGGACAGGATAATAGTACCCCTATAGTAATGAAACGGGTGTTTCCGTCACTTAACTTTTTACGTTCTACTTCTTGACCACGCACGGCAAGTGCGAGGTGCAATCTCAGATGGCCTTTTGCGGAGGCCAAGATCCAGCGTCTCAACGCTGAAACCTTGGGTTTATCTCTCTTCTTCAGAACATTTCTTTGGTGTCTCTAGTCTCCCGTCTCCCATCTCTAGCCACATTGAAGTGCTACCCGAAACCAAACGCAGGCGAACGAGAACGTATCAGCTTGCAACTCTCGGCACTGTTTCAGAAGGCAAATAATAGCAGCAAATACCTAGGTAACCTCGTCAAGCCTCGGGGCTAGATAACAACCAACTAGCAAAGCCATTGCGGCGCCAACTACGTCAACGACCCAAACCTGAAAGAAGTGAGAATCGGATCCGAAGGATCTGTATCTGTATCCCCATAACCTACTGATAACCTTGGAAAGATGGAAGTTGGGGTTACCCCGCAAAACGTGGCCACAATGGAGCTGAACCCCGCGACTTACCTAGTAGTAACTAGGTACTAGCAGCCCGGCCCCGCGCTTTCGCGACGGGCGACAGTGGAGCGGATGTGGGGGGGGGGCGGAGAAGAAGCCTCGGCATGGAAGATGCCACACCACCACCACCGTTACATACAACACCACACCCGTGAACAGCACCACCTGCTGGAGGTGGGGGTATCTATGTACTCAACGGCGCCCGCATGCATGCATGCATCTCCAGTCCCGTGAAACTCTGGATTTGAACACTGCACTGCACTGTAAGGAACGTCGTCCGTTGTGGTGTTTGTTTGAGGCAAAAGGAATACCAGGCTTGGATTACCTGCCATTCGTTAGTAGTTCTTGTAGGTACATAAAATCCTGTTCTCATCTCTTGCCCCTTACCCAGTATCTATCCTAAGCTAATACTAGATTAGTTTGATTTACACCCTAATTTCCTCATCTTTTTTATTTTAATTATATTTTAGTACGAAGATCGAAAGCTGCGATGGCCGATAATACGGTGGGCGCGCCGCCACTCACGGGGCTCAAGGTCCTCGAGTTTGCCGGTCTGGCTCCAGGTACGTAACATACATGTACAGTTCCTTGTGCTCCGTACCTTGGTTGCACCGGGCGGGTTCACAAAACGCGAGCCGCAACACGCTGACACGTGCAACAAAAACAGGGCCCTATGCCGGCATGCTGCTAGCCGACGCCGGGGCCGACGTGCTGCGCATCGACCGGGCGCCGCTCTCAAACGAGCAGCGGCCGGCTGGTGGCGACCTACTGACGCGGCACAAGGCATCGGTGGCCGTAGACCTCAAGGACCCGGCCGGCGTGGCGCTGGTGCGCGAGCTGGCGCGGCGCGCCGACGTGGTGGTCGACCCGTTCCGGCCGGGCGTGCTGGAGAAGCTGGGGCTCGGGCCGGCGGTGCTGTGCGCGGCGAACCCGCGCCTGGTCTACGGCCGCCTGACGGGCTTCCGCCGCGACGGCCGGTACGCCGCCATGGCCGGCCACGACATCAACTACCTGGCCGTGTCGGGCGTTCTGTCGCTGCTGGGCCGCCGCGGCGACAAGCCGACGCCGCCGTGGAACATGCTCGCCGACTTTGCTGGTGGTGGTGCTACGCTGTTCCAGGGCATCCTGCTGGCCCTGGCGGCGCGCGAGCGGAGCGGCGGGCGCGGCCAGGTCGTCGAGGCCAACATGGTCGACGGCGTGTCGTACCTTGCGACCTTCCCGCGGTTCGTGCTCAAGACCCCCGTCGGCAGCCACCCCCGCGGCGAGAACCTGCTGGACACGGGGTGTCCCTACTACGATACCTACGAGACGCAGGACGGCAAGTACGTGGCGGTCGGGGCGCTGGAGCCGCAGTTCTTCAGTGTGCTGGCCCAGGGGTTGGGGCTGGCTAGTCAGGGGTGGGAGGAGAGGCGGTACGACCGCGACAGCTGGCCCGAGCTGAGGAGGCTGTTTGAAATGGTATTCAAGACCAAAACGAGGAACGAGTGGGAGGCCGTTTTTGACGGGACCGACGCGTGCTGCACGCCTGTACTCGAATATCCCGAGCTGGAAAGCAACCCTGAGAGGGAAGGCGACCAGCGCCCGTCAGTGACTTTGCGAAACACGCCGTGCCTCGCTGTCAAGCAAGATGTGTCAGACCCAAGCCATGGGCAGGGACATGGCGTCGAAGGGGAAGGTTATGTCGGCTTTCCCTTGGAAGTTGGCAATGGGGGCGTTGCCATGGTGGGGAAATGGCTCAAATGGACACAGGGCAACGAGTTTGACGTCAAAGGAAGGGCTCTTGTGCTCAAAAAGACATCGAAATTATGACTATGGCCCTCCTCAGTTCAAAAATACAAGCCCAAAAAAGAAAAGAAGCCATAAACAGCCCCAAAATTCAGGTGCAGTGAACCTACGTGAAATACCGCCCAACTGCTTGTTTTACAGCAAAATCCACCCCGGTTTGCGATGAGGCACACTCCCTCGCATTTGAAGAACCCACCCCCAAGAGCCCCTGAGCCCCCCCATCATTCCTGCATTACGTATCGAGGTTCACTGGGCTGGAGGGGCGGCGTCGACACGTTGACGAACGGCTGGCACCTGACATGTGGCCGGCCACCTGCAGCACGCACATGCTGCAAACAATTGTTTAGCGCAAGTGGTCCCGAAGCCATGGTTCTGGTTTTGCGGGAGAGCGGAACAGTATGTACCGGTATGTATGTACATACCTTCTGCATGTCAGCCATGTGCTCCGCCACGCATGTCCTCATCTGGCCAGGTGCCCTACGCAGGGCTCGGAGGCGGGTTTGGCGGAGGGGAGGGGGGGTCTTCGCGAGATTTGCTCATGGTGTGCCCAGGTAAGGTCGTGAATCGTGTGGGGGGATGGTTCTCGTGATGAGAGGGCTTTGTGACACACGTTTCTCTTCAGCCTTGGGGAGCAGAGAAAGTAGATGTGAGAAATTGTGACTAGAATCGTGCTTGCTATGCTTGGTTAAGGAATAGAGAGGCCCTTGTGTCGTTGCCCGGGGCGGCTCCCGCGAGCTTTATACCCAAATCCCAGTTGCACAATGATAATCGGCGGCCGTCCATACGCGTTTGTGTTCCGGATATTGTTTCTGGGTCCGGATAGCCGTTCGGCATCATCCCATTTGGAAAGCCTGGTGGGCAAACAGGAGGGCTAGTAGCATGGGATGCCTTGTTTTGCTTTGCCTAGCTAAGTTTGAGGATATGACTCCAATCCGGGGACCCGATATGAAGGCGTGTGGTCGACGGCCCCAATCAAACACAGCTCCTTACCGGGTCTTCCCTTTCCCTTTCTTTTCTATTTCTCTTCCGTGACAAACATGCGGGACCGCTGGGAAATCCATTATCACAACCCATCGTCCCGAGCCTTTGAGTGGCCACAGTGCTGTCTCGACCGGGGTCTGTCAAGTAGGGCTGTCACCCCTGGTGTGTTTACCCTCTGCTGCCGAGCGGGCTCGAGCCCTGGCAGCGCGGGATGGGGGCGTGGGGGAACCGAAATGATGGGGAGGATGGCCCGCTGGGAGCCTGAGATAGCTTGACCGCTATGAGCTCAGCCAATCCGCTTCGCGAACGCGTCCACTCCCCCATACTTGTTACAGAGATCTGGGTGCGGGTAATCAATGTTGGTGCTGCCTTTTTCCTTCTTTTCTCTTTTGCGCGTTTGGGATATAACCTGGCTGCGTTGTGATGCGAATTCCTCAACGACACCTCATTCACGCCTGCCTCTTGTCTGTCTGCCGGTAATATTCTACAAAAATATGCCCAATCTCCAACCGTCCTTCTTTTCTTTCTTGGGACTCCAACCAAGACACCATGGCGAGCCCTTCCTTGCCGGCGAATGCGAATGGAAAGCCAAAAGTCGGTCTGACACAAACCGGAAGTCAAGGTGGCGTGGCGTGATTTTGCCGAGCAGGGCTCGATGGGCCTGGGAAAGGACTTTTGATGCGGTTCCTGAATTACTAAGGCTTCGTTTCAGCTGTCTTGTCTCTCTCCTTTCTTTTGGCAAACCGCCAACCTCCAATGAGATTTGCCAAAGCCTCTTTCCTTCTCACAGACCAACTGCGCTACTGCGAGAGCAGGTAATTAAGTGTGCCGTCATCCCTGGCACGACTATTCCCGCCCCGCGGCTGTCACCGCTCTAGATAAGTCGGATCGAGAAAGCCCTTGGCGGAGAGCAAGACCGGGGCTGAACGGAGGGGATATCCTTCTCTCCCCATGTGTGCGTGAGCCGATGGGTCGACGACACTTGAGACATGCTAATCGGCAGTAGACGGACGATGCCAGCGGCACCACTCTGTCTTTTTTTCGCCAAACAGACTACAGACAGCCCCTGAGCCGTGTCTGCCCCTTCCATCTCCTGGCCAGATTGGGAGCTTGAGGTGGCCATAGGTTGTCGGAACGTGTTAAGAAGACCGTATGATGCCGAATGATGGCGGAATGAGAGGGGAGATTGCGCTAGCTCTTGTCTCCATACATGCAAGTCAGTGACTTGAGACTACAGCTGCAGATACATCGGCCTCGGAAATGCAGGTGCTGTAGCAGCGAGGCGGCTGATGGCAAGTCGATGTGTTGGCCATGCTTCCCCTCAAGGAGAGGCTGGCACATTGGCGACATGATAGGTTACTGTGATCAAAATGTATTGGGGAGGTCTAGACACACCTCCACGCAAACGCAATAATTCCACTCGAGGGGCAGTCAAGTTGAGATGCGCGATTCCAAATGGTTGGCCGAAGACATGTATTACCTCCAGCTTGGACGCACTGTTTTCGGGCTCTATCTCTGTTTCTGGGCTTGGTCTGATCGGAGAAGGAGCTTCGTGGAAACTAAGACCTGGATGTCCTGGCATTTGCGGGACCCTTCCGTGTCACAGCCTTCGGGAGAGTTTCCCACGGCATCTGGAGCTGCAATGGTTCAGCCAGCCCAGTTGCACAATGCCGACCTGCCTTGGGTAACTCAGTTTTTGCTTCTGCCGACCTGTCGACAAACAGGCGCTTTCCGTGATGTTCGGTCAGATACTGGTTGCCAAAGGTGCCTAGGGTAGATATCAAGGCATGCTCAGCGGTAGTCTGTGAGCTCGCCAACCGGCATCTGTCTAGCCTTTGTTTGTTTCTGACTGCGGTGATATTTGGAACTGAAAGTGCTCAATTGGCTAGTACCTGGTTGGATTCGGGGCCGTCTCTCGTCCTAGTAAATGACTAGAATGAACAAGGTACACATAAAGCTCGTCTGGGCCCCGAGGTCTAGCGGGACCTGGAGACGGAAAACTCGTTGTTCCGGTGAAAGAGCTGAGAAGGACTGGAAGCAATTTCCTCGGTTGGAGTTCAAGTCGGCTCCTTCCCCTGTATAATGCCCAAGGTACCTACCTACCTAACTACTAGCACCGTCTGTTCCTTCCGCAACGGTAATCGTTCCGTACCTGCCACTAGGTAAGGCAAGTACTATGTACCGGGTATTTAGGTAGGCACGCTTCAAAGTTCCTGCGAACTTTCCACAATAACTTGGGATTTTCAATTTTGTTCGGACCCGTGGTAATCCTTCTCCTAAAATCCACTGAAAAACGGAGTCTGAAACTCATCCAGCCGTTGCCTTCTCTCAAGCCACTGCAAGCCCGATCCTGTCGACTCGACTTAGCCTCAAAAATTACAAGTTCACGATATTTCGTATACAGGACAGAGCCATTCAACTTCTCCCAACGACGGGAGCATTGCATCCTTGGCGTTCTCACGCCTTGCCGCAGTGGATCACGTGAAATGAAGCCTCCTGCAGCCGCCGAGTCCAGTCTGCCTTGAAGCTATACACTTGAAATGGGTAAGCGCCGTTGCGCAAGGCTGTAGGCTTCACGTAGAAGATAGGTATCCCTTCATTTCGACATTAATCTGTACACGCGTCATGGTGTTGAAGACGAGAGACGAGAGAGGATAAGAGGGGCTCTCACTCGGCTGTGACAGACTACCTGACTCAACTCTAACTAATTCAAGCAAGGTCCTCTCCCTAGGTCGACCTTCAATTATACGGCGGTGGTGTCGACTTTTTGTCCCTCAAGCCAGCCACTACTGCATAAGGTACCTACATACCGGCGGCTGCCCTTCAACAACTCGCAGCCACATCCCCGGGTTGAGAGTCGCCGATGCGTCTCTTAAATGTGGAAATGCTTCGGCTGGAGGAGTTTTCTTGGCATTGACCCGCCTCCCTGTGCCATATTGTCGCATACCTAGGGCAAGGATGACGACGAAGTGTCACACCGCGATGTCCTCGATAGGAAGCTAGGCCTGCCCGCAACCCGGCCCATCAAGCTGAGCAGGTGTTGTCAACAAGCCCAGGATGATGGATACCACCATGCCTAGATTGACACGTGCTGTATCGACAAGACCAACTCAGTCGAGCTTCAAGAGGCCATCAACTCCATGTTTCGCTGGCACCATGACGCACAAATCAGCTACGCCTATCTTGCAAACGTTCCCGCCGGCCATGACCCCGAGGACCCCGAGTCTGCCTTCTCCTCGAGCCGCTGTTTCACCCGCGGATAGACCCTACAGGAGCTCCTCGCCTCCCTAAATCTCCGTTTCTACGACTTGGACTGGAACTGCCTGGGCACGAAAGGAGACCTCTACGATGTCGTCGAAAAGATTACCGGCATACCCAGCATATCTGCTGGGGATCCCCGAGCTACATCAGGCAAGCGTGGCACAGCGAATGGCCTGGGCTGCCGAGCGGGTTACGAAGCGAAAAGAGGACATCGCTTACAGTCTCGTCGGCCTCTTCGGTGTGAACATGCCCATGATATACGGCGAAGGTGACAAGGCCTTTCGTAGGCTCCAGGACCAAATCATGAATGAGACTGGCGATCATTCTATCCTGGCATGGGGGTCTCAACCTCGGAAAACAAAACTTCAAAGCCTCGTCAGTCACAGCAATTCCCGGCAGATTTCTAGCATCCGCTCCGTCGGATTTTGTCAACTGTGGCGGAATTACTTCGCCAGAGCAACTTTCGGGCCACTTGTTCGACGTACGTGGGGGATCTCTTCGAATTCGACTCTTGTTCCACACGAGGTCTTCCGGAGAGGCACTGGGCTTGCTCAAGTGCGGCCCTGAACACATATCGGACAATGTGGTCGGGATACCCCTTGCCCTCATGTCCGGAGAGCAGTCTGTTGAGTATATGCGACTGAAAGGTCGCCGCGCTCAGCTTATTCTGATATCTGGCTTCGAAACCTCTTCCAATTCTACCCAGATATGGACTGCGATCGCCAGTTCGCAGCCCAACGTCAGCCCTACTAATTGCAAATACAGAAATCTGCCTCCGGTCTAGAGTTGACTGATGTCGAGCCGAAAGCTCGCTGGCACAAAGAAAGGGCCCTGATCGAGGCTGCGATAAACGATCCAGAGAGTGACCACAGCATATGAAGAGTCTTCACTCGCTTTCGCGATGAAAAACTCGAATCATACGACTTTGTTGCGATTATTGAGATTGAAGAGCGCCGCTCAGGCCTGCAGACCCAATGCCACATCATGAAAGCAACTAAAAAGACTTCCTTGCAAGAGATTGCTCAAAAGTTCGGCGAAATGAGATCAGAATCTCTTAGAAAAACAAAGCGCCAGCAATGTTTCACTCGAGCCGGTGGGAGGCCAGCGGATGTTTATTATCAAAACCATTGTAATGTCTACTCCACCTGGAGTTACCGTCAATGCCACTTCCGAGATGAAGAGCGCTTCCGTGCTGGGTGTGTTTGACTGCCTCCGAGACGCAGAGGAAGAGCAAGTCAGGGAAGAGAATTTATTAAGTCAAGAACTTCAAGATAAAAGAGCAAGTCTGTCTGCGTTGAAAGCCGAACTGGATGTCGTCCAAGCCGATTTAAAGCTGCTTCAAGAGAGAGGTTACTAGCAAGGGGGCTAGAAAACGGTACTCGAGAAACCCAAGAACTTCGCTTCAAACATGGGCGTGCTAAGCAGCAACGAGAGAGTGTGTCGGCACAATTACTCGATACGCAGCGGCGCTTAGAGGATCTTCGAAGTGGAAACCGTCTGGATGCCAATGACAGTGGCGATTTAAGTGAGGAAATTCGTGCATTGTGCTTTGCCGTCGAAAATGGACAGGAAACCCTCTTACGAATTCTCCTCGATAAGGGCGCCGATATTGAAGCAAGAAACAATTTAGGCCAAACCCAACTCTACGTAGCTACCTCAACGGGGGATGACGCTGTTGTAAGGCTTCTACTTGACGAGGGCGCCGATACAGAAGCAAGAAACAATTTAGGCCAAACCCAACTCTACATAGCTACCTCAACGGGGGATGACGCTGTTGTAAGGCTTCTACTTGACGAGGGCGCCGATATCGAGGCAAAGGATACCGGAGGCTGCACTCCGCTCTTGCGGTCTGCCAGTAAGAGGCAAGAGACTATCGTGCGATTACTTCTTGATAGGGGTGCTTCTATCATGGCGAAAGATAACCACGACAACACACCCTTGCACCTAGCCGCCAATTATGGACACGAATCAACCGTAAGGCTACTCATTGATGAAGATGCCAACATCCGGGCCATAGAAATCCGCGGTTTTTCGGCGCTTCATGCTGCTGCCAAAGGAGGGGGTACAGATATTGCGCGACTTCTCATCGAAAAGGGCGCCGATGTCAACGCAAGGTCCTATGCCGGTTATGCACCTTTATATCTCGCTGCAAGTGAAGGATACGAGCCTATGGTACGGCTGCTCCTTGATTCGGGTGCGGATTTTTCGGCGCAAGCTAAAAGTGGGCGCATGCCGCTAGATGTCGCCTGGGAACACGAATCTGTCAAACAGCTACTCGTCGAGGCGGGCGCTCAAAGAGGTGCCGACAACCCAACCCTGACGAGAAAGAGGTTGTTATCATAGTCCTAACGGCCAGGGGCACGGACCAAATGGCTTCGCACCAGGCCAAAATGGCTATTTGCAAGGCCCAGGCGGAATTGTGTACGCAACTCAGGCCTACGAGGGAAAAGATGTCGTTCCAATGTCGCCTTCTGGTAGTGGCTACTACGAGTATGATTCCATGTCACGGGGCAAGGCGGCCGGGTCGGGTCAGCGTGAAAGCCCTCGGGGCCACCGGCACAAGAAGGGCGTTTTGAAGTTTTTCCAACGGCGGGCTGGAAGGTAGTGTCCATGTGTTTTTATATCCAGATTTTATATGGTTTTTACTTTAAACATATTCATATACCCCTAGTCGAATTCTACAGTCTAAAACAATTGTGATAAAATTAGTTGTTTTTTTGAAGTTCGAAGGCCGAAGGAAAACACCTGTTAAGGCCTTTTCTAGCTGGTGTATATCTGATAATCTTTCCCTTCTTCTTAAGTACCACGTCAACAAACGTTCAAGGATTGGAGCGTAGACACTCCATGCTTTGCAGAGCTTTGCTTCTTGACAACCTAAGCAATGGTTCTTGTTATCATTACTCCGATCAATAATTATCGGCCACAGTGAACGTGCCGGGTATCAAGTCTGTGTAGCCACAGTTACCCCGAGTGCTGCTGGGTGACAAAGATATCCATTTTGTCCGCTGGGGTAGCGGCAAGGTATGACAGCGGATCCATGGAGGTGGAAAAAAACCCTTTAATAATAGAGACAAAGCATAGTTCCACCCTGATCCAGAATAATTTCATCAACAAAAACATGCTTGCTCAGACTTGCCGAGGTTCGTCTGCTTCAGTTTAATCTCAGCTCTGTAATTGCCGAGGTTCTCTCTCTCTCCTTACACACACACACACACACACACACACACACACACACACACACACACACTGACTCTCACTTACTCACTGGCTTCTACTCATTCACTCTAGTTCTCTCTCAAATCTATACGGAACGTGGGTAAGGCCCAGGCAACAAACATGGCCGAGTGAAATGAAGATGAAGTCAAAGATTGTGAGAAAGTGCGAGGGTAGGTGAGAGTTACGATTCAGGTTAAGTGAGTGAGTAGGTATGTTGGTGTGGGTGTGTAAGTATATGAGCGTGTGTTTGAGTCAGTAAGCGTAAGTCAGTGTGAGTGGGAAGTACGAGATAGGGAGAGGTTGAAACCAGGATGAACAATAAACGAGTCTGCTATTCATTACCAACCCAATCCAACTCAACCTAATTTAGTGGATAGATAGAAGGTAATTACATACCTACGAAAAGAAAACTAAGCAATTCTAAAAGAAAAATGATAAGCCAAAAGCCAAAGGGAAAAGAAGAAAAAAAAACAACCTCGCTGGTATCGAAGAATGGGAAGTAGAAGAAGAAACCCCCACGCCCAACCCCAACCCCAACCCCAGTTCAAGATTGTCGCTGTGAAGAATGAAACACCCACCACTCCGCTCCACACATCACATCAGCCCCCTGCCCCTTTCTTTCCATCCCTTCCACTTTCCTTCCTTTCGCCACAAAAAAACAACTTTCTCGTATATCGACAACGCAGAATTATTCATGGCTTCTTCTTTCTTCCTTACACTGTTTAAGTTTAAAGAGGCTAGCTGCTGTCGAGCAGGCCATACACATCGCATCGCCAGCCCTGCGTAACCCCCCGCCACCGACTTGTTCACTACTGTACCTGGCTGACAATCTCGCTGGCGCGCGACAGGGACTCGACCATCTGCTGGCACTCCTTCCTCCGGCGCGTGGTGTAGTCGCTCTCCTTGAGGAGGTCGTCGAGCTCGCTCTGGCGGTACATGTTTTCCAACAACTCCTTCTGCATCTCGTCCTTTGTGAGTCTGGCAGGCAGAAAAGAAATTGTTAGCAGTTATTTCCTGGAAGTGGGCGCATGGGTAAAACGTACTGGACAAGGGTTAGCATAATAGCCTTCGGGACCATGTCGATCATGGTCCGTTTGACAATGTTGTAGTATGAGTTGATAAGAAGCTCTGGACGATAAAGTTAGACCTGCACGCTCATCTCCCGGGATCAGCCGCGTTAGGAAACTCACTAATGACTTCGACCTCAATGTTCTCGCGCTCTGACAGCGTGCCCGAGGCTTTGAGAGTCGGCGGTGGGGGCTCCATAGCGGCGGCCTTCTTCTTGTTCTTGGCCGCGAAAAAGCTGCCAAAGAAGCCGCCATTGCCCTCGCCGTCACCGCTATTCACCAGCGTGGGACTCGCCGCCCGCACAGGCGTAGCGCTAGCTGGCAGGGGTTTCCCGGTCTTAGGGTCGACCTGGACTGGCTTCACAGGGTTGTGCTTCTCGTTGACTATCGCCATGGCCTGCAGAGAGCGTTAGATAAGATCATCAGAGTTAGTTTCAAGACTACTTACGCGGTGACCGTTCAAAAAGTCTGGATGTCCGGTGTTGATGTAACATGACTCCATGGAGACGAGGTCCCGCACTAGCTTGTTTGTCGGCTCCATCGCCTTCTTGAAGAATGAAATGACGACTGCGTGTATCTTTTCCTTTAGTGAGGGATAGCGCCGGTAGAGCTGCTTGCCGAGGAGCTGGGTGAGGATGCGAACCAGCTCGTCATATACTAGAGATGCGCACTTCAAGCTGGGCTCTTCTAGCCGCTTGATCTGCTGCTTGACGATAAGCTCGAAGGCGGTTGTGCCAACAAAGAGAGCCGGAGATGAGCCAGACGAATTGTAGAGAATAGTGCGGATATCGACATCCTTGACCTGGTCGAACGGGTCTACCGCCTTGACACCGTTCGCATACAACTCGTGGAAGACGAAACTGATTCTGGCGCCTCCGGACAGCTCCGTGCTGGAGAGTTCGGTGTTGTTGCCGTCCAAAACAGTGCGCCATTCGTTGGTGAACTCGGTGATGATGTTGAGGACGATGTTGGCGCTGTTGCCGAGCATCGAGGGACCTAGAGACTCTAGTTCCTGGCTGTACTTTTGCAGCGAACTGGAAATACGGGCCTTGATGTCTGGCAGGGTCTGCTTAATGTGCATCATAAGGATGAGGTTGAGCTTCCGGGCCAGATATGGGGTGCCGCAGTACGAGCTCTTGTTCCGGTACGCCTTGTGGTTGTCGAAGAAGTTCTTCTCAGCTTCGAGAGCCAGGTTGATGGTCTTCTTGTTGTCGATATCTCTCTGGCCGCGGTTCACCACAGGCACGTATCCCAGGCGGAGGGGGATGATGCGCCCCGCCAGAATGTCGACAACATCGGTGCCGTCGTCCATCAGATCCACCTTAGTGAGCACACCGATAGTCCGCTGGCCCTCGGGATCCACCTCTCTCGCTAGCTTGAGACCGTCCGAGTTGGCCAGATCAACGTTGGCCGCCGTGACGGCCAGGATGATGGCATTGGATTTTTGGATGTACTTGACGATCATGTCACGAATCTGCCTCTCAATATCGCGGGGCTGGTCGCCGACGGGTACTCGTGTCAAGCCGGGGAGATCGACGAGGGTGAGGTTGAGCACGTTGGGCGAATAGATGCGCAAGTTGATGGGGGCGGGCGAGATGCCGGCATTCCTGCCGACCTTTGCTTCAGTCTCCCGACTGATCTCGTCTCGGATCTTGTTAAAGTCGAAGAACTTCTGGCCGGGGATATGCAAGAACTCGCCCCACTCGTCCATGTTCGCCGCCTTGTCGGTGCTGTTGGCAAGCTCCTTCTCGAGGCCATTTGACTGGGACCCGGCGGTCCGGTTGATGAGCTGGAGCACGAGCGGCCGACGGGTCACGATACCGGACCCGCGGGGTAGACTACACAGGACAGCATATGTTAACTCTGCGACCATGGCTGTCGCCTGGGGGAAGACAAGCGTTGGAGGGGTTAAGGAGGAAAGACGACCGGGCTTACAAGTCGCGCCCGACAATATTTTCTAGTACGGAACTCTTTCCACTCGACTGGCTGCCGACGACGACTATTTGCGGCAGATCGATGGGGTTGTTGACGCCGACGGTCGTGAAGACATCCTGCAGTTTGTTGACGAGCCTGGAGGCCACATGTCAGTCAGTGCCCAACCGACAGAAAATGCCAAGATTACTCTGCGCACACGGCCAACAGAACGGCGGCGGGCGAGAGCTGGGGGAGAGGAGCGTACTTGATGAGGCCGGGATCTGAGATGCCCCCGGGGGTGCTGAGAGACGGCTGTTCCGCCGTCATGGTTGCAAACTGTCGGAGAAGCGACGGTGGTGGTTTGTTGCGGCGGTGGAGATGTTTTTGGGGGAAACGAGGGTTGGACTACGTTGGTGTCACCTGCAACTGCTGCTAAGTTACTGAGCTGCTCAGCCTGTGCTTGTTGTGCCTTGCGCGGATTGCTAAACGGTGAGAGATGCAAGTGTGTTGGAAGCCGCCGTGGGTTTTGCGCTTCCAGTCTGCGATTAATTTTCAGCTGGCGCGTGTTTGTACCGGGCTCGTCGTGTCTGTTGAGATTGGATGCGAAGGCGGGATGGATCCTCGACTTAGGTTGCCGGCCTAGCGAGTCTGGAAGGACTTACGTAGCGTGCGTCGTCGCAAGGGGTGTCTGTGCGTCAGCTTTAACCAACCTTGTCAAACCTAGCGGCCAGGCCAGCCTTGCCGGCCCTGTTTCCACGTGATCCACAGCTGGTGGCGGCTCGCCTGGGCAGCCTTGACTGAAATGACTAACGTTTTGGAGCTCCGCTGCCCTCTTTAACCGCTGAAACAATGAGGGCCTGCTGTTATTTCGACAAACATATCCGTATTCGTCTGACTAAACACACCCAACGAGTAGTCTCTTCGCTGAAAGCAAGTTCAAGTATGCTAGCATGTGCGTGCCTACATCTCAGTCAACCCGTTCGTAATTTTAATCAATTACAATATCCATCCGTTCAGTGATGAAGCTGCCTGCTCTGGTCTGTCACCCTTTATCTGGGACCTGGAAGCCCACGTACGTGGGTCCCTTGGTCGTCAGCTGAGGCGTTCTGTCCACGCGGCACAGCGTGGCTCATCAACACCAAAAACTCCCCAGACAGGTAATAAGAACCTTAATTTTCGTATTCTGCGTGGAATAGGGATTGCTCTATCTATTTCGTTTCCTTTCAATACAATCCACCCAACTTTTTATTCACATGAAAAAAAGAAGAAAATACAAGAAAAAAAGATTCGAGACTTCATGTTCAAAAATATTTTACGCTGTCATTGAGGGTGGTGAGTCTGTAGGTAAGCTCCTCTAGAACCTGGTTCCTACGCTGTCCTCCCCTTTCCTCCTCTTTCTAATAAAGATAAACCTGTTCCTTGTCGTTAATGTACAAAGCCCCCTCAACCCGCCCCGTAAACCATTCTGGTGTAACGGCTAGATATCAGGGAAGTTGGAAGCCTGCGGCAACGGAAAATCTCTAGCCATCATTGAGAAGTATAACATGACGCCCCGAGCCATCCTTCCATCTTGGTAGTTGTAGTTCGTCTCTGGCTTCCCCCGCTCGTCAAAAAGGCGAGCACTAGAGCCGCTGGCTAGCGCTAGAACGCCTGACAACGTCTTAGCACCTAGTAAAGGAAACAAATAAAATGCAAGTGGCTACCGACCCAGTGTGTCGGAGAAAACAATACTCCAAACAAAGCCTGCCCCTACCCCTAGTCCTTATCTCCAAATTCGCCGTCCCATGCTATGCAGTGTATTCCAATGAACGAGTCATCGAACCGAACCGCGCCTCATACGCCGCGCCCTTAGATCTCAGCGTGCTGCTCCCCAGACACGGGGTACCCGTTAGGGCTTCGGCCCGAGACTATGGGGTGCAACGACCTGTAGGGGTATTCCAAGACTCGCTCCTTGTTTGACCATCTAAATGCTTGTTAGCAGCCCGAGCCAGGAGAGATAGATAATCGACAGGGACTTGCATCTTGATCTTGCCGTCATCTCCGCAGGACGCTACCATGCACGGGTCCGCTGGGTTCCAGGACACGGCGTTGCACCTGGGGTCATGTGCGGCTACTCTCTCGACCTGAATTCCAGTGGATTTGTGCCATATACACATCGAGCCGTCTAGGGTTAGAGGTCAGCGCGAGGTCCCAGAAAATAATGGGGATGGGCGGGTGGGAGGCCAACTAGAGATGGCATGACCCAAGACGTAACTACTTACCTTCGCTCCCGCTCACTACGAAGCTCTCATTGGCGCCACCAAATGTACTCCGGATGGTATAGCCACCACCAGAATGACCGTGGTACTTTTGCACAACATCTCGAGAAGCAATGTCGATCAGCTGGGCCTCGCCGTCTACCTTGTTGACAAGCAAAAACCTCGAGTCTTCGCTTATGCTGAGCGACGTGGCCCTTGATTTGAGCTCAACTTCGTACAGGTATTCGCGGGTAACGAAGTCGTAGACATGGATCCGCTGTTGCTCATCCATAGCAATCAGCCAGCGGCCGTCAGAGGAAAGCGACAAGTCTTCCGTCCTATGCTTTCTAGTCAAGACGAAGAGTCGCTCGCCGTTCAGATTCCACTGGCAGATAGACTTTGTCTTATCGAACGACCCAGTGACAAAGGACTGGCCGTTAGGAGTCCAAACACAACTGCTGACAGGTTCGTCAAAGCGGTCGAGGACTCTCACGCAGTCCCCTGTCTGTGAATTGTTCAGCCATGCTCTACCCGTGATACCTATGGGGCGGGACTACCCACCTCGGTGTTCCAGATTTTGGCGTAGTGATCTTTGCCACACGTGATCAAAGTCGTGTCATCTGGACTCCAAGCGATATTGCACACATCGCTACCCTCGTGGGCAATTATCCTGTGCAAGACTTCGAATGACGGGACAGCATAGATATAGACGTTTTGATCCATTCCGCAGCTTGCCAAACGGCTGCCGTTGTTTGAGAAACGAACCTGCCATACCTCTTGCTGGTCTTGGTTACCTAACTCCACGAGGACCTCGGATGGGAATCTCGTTCTGTCGCACAAATGGTCCGAGTAAAGCGAGGGCGGCTCAGAGCTCGTATGGTAGAGACAGTTGCTAATCTGGCTCTGCTTGACCTGCTCTAAAAGCACAGCCAGTCGATGTTCAGGGAGCATTACCGAGGGAGATATACATCCTTTACAATAGTTAGTTATGCGATTCTCTACAAGGGGGGTCATGGACCACGAACGTGAGAGCTCGGACAACAATATCTGTCGGGACCGGCCCTGCGCACCGTCCCACGCAGCCTTTTGTTTGAGGTGCTCGACAGACGGGCACATCAGAAGCCCAGCGAGTAGGTTAAGCTTCTGGTGCTGCCCCGAGCATAGCGGCGTTAGCTCGCTCCGTAATACTGCCAGGGCCTGATGGTTGTCTCGCTTCTCTAGTAGTTCCAGAAACTTTTGCTGTCTTAGCCAAAGTCTCATTGTGTCTCGGTCTGCTCCCGGGGCTAGCACCAGTCCGTCTCCCGGGTGTTGGCGGTCCCCAGCCACGACGTTACTGGAGAGGAGGGCCTCAGCTTCAGACCAAGAACCATCTAGCACGGCATTGCGGAAAGCAGCCACTGTGTGGTTTTCGAGCTCATAGCCACTGGACCGCGTGACGCTCTCCGCTGCATCGTGGTAGCCCATATCAGCTAGGGCCTGGATCAGGATGCGAGTGACCTCCTCGGGGGCGTGGCCGAAGTAGTTGCGGGGCGGCCCCTCGACGGGCCCCTTTCCATTGCGTGCCGATCCATTAGTCGACTCGGACGACATCTTTAATGTCCTACTATTGCTAGAAGATGTCGTCAGAAGCTCGTCGGCGGCCCGTGATCCATTAGACACCCGCATGGTTCCATTAGATGACCCTTGGCCGTCGCCTTCTGGGCCCGGCATGCTTCCTAGACGTCTCCGCTTAGGTTGGAAACGGGCAATGGAGATACTGGACGCAGAAGAAGCCGGACCGGCCTCTGCTTCTTCCTCTTCGGCCTGTTCAGGCTCGGTCCGCTGTCGTCTTCCGAGAACCTGAGAGGGTCTGCCCGAGCCAGCGCGCGAGGAACCACGTATTGCGGGCCCCTGGAGGGTCTGTGGTGTCTGTTGCGGATCGGGAGCGGGCTGAAGGAGGGAGGCTGTATTTTGAACCAAGGGGATGGCGTCTGAAGAGGACGTAGAGGGCAGAGGGGTGGATGGGGTATATGTGGGAACGTGGTTGGGAGTTTGGTCTGCCACGGCGATCGACTGTTGGCCGCGGGGCCCGTAGCCGTTGTCGCGGACGTTATGGTAGTAGAGGTTGGGGGCTCCCAGGGCGGGGACGGGAGAACGAGGCGTCGGGTCGGCGGTGTCGGGAGGGGTGCGGAGCGATGAGCGTGGTAGCTTTGTCGCTCAGACAAGAGCTAGCCGTGGGCATGAGCACTGAGCTGACGAGCTTGCTGACCGGTCAGGGCGGCGCCGTCATACGCAGGCGAACGGTGGTCGCTTTGCGAGCGAGAAGGTCGAGTTCGAGCTTGAGCGAAGACCGAGCGTGCACTAGCGAGTACTTAGCTTGTCCAAAGCTTTGAGACAGCGAGATGCAACGAGGCCGGTATTCCGCAAGGTAATGAATGGTAGTCGGGTTTTGGAGACGACGAGAGCTTCGGAGTGGCCTGCGACAGCGGTCGGTGGTAGTTTATTTGATTACGGATGTCTCGTAAGTCATGCGGACCTTTTTGCATTTGGGACGTTTACGTTTCGTCGGACGGATGAAGTCGGGTCGGGCAGGATGGAAGGTGGAAGCGGAACGTCAACAGATAGCAATCGACGGATAAGACCCGACCGGACCTAGGCAACTCGAACAGCACTGACGCCAGCTGAGGCGGGAACCTTAGACGCGCCAAGCCCACTATCCACACTGTAAAGTGTAAACTCCCTTACCTAACTTGCCTCAAATAGGTGTGGGCAGCTGCAGGCCCACGCCGGACTTGTCTGACCTAAGGCAGCCCCGCCACAGCGTGTGTGTCTGATTGGCTTTCTCTGGCATGCTGGGCTCCAGCGCTGGCCTGCTGTGGCAGGTGCGATTGATGTGAGGGGCTTGAGGGGACCGTCCAGCGGCCTGAGACCAGGTCACTCCCAGATGTCGGTCCCTCACTGGGAAAGTTACCAACACTGCTACTAGGCGAACTTTGTTTCTCAACGGCCCAACCCAACCGAGCCTTTGCTGGCAGCGTCGCCGTCGGTGCCGAAGGTTCAAGCCATTTTAACCTAATGGATCCTTGCTGAGCCGAACGATGACAAACTGCTCTTTTGTCTTCGTTGTGTACATACAGTACTGTACTTGCCTCGCCTTTTCCGTACTTCGCAATCACCCCTCAGCTCATGACAGCTGACTGTGAGGCGGGATAGGCCTAGGCATCGACTGCACTTTTTGACGACGGGATGGGAGCTTGTCAATTCGTCTTTTCTCGCCGGCGAGCATAAAATGACACCTCAAATCTCACCTTTCTCCGTCTCGTCTTGCAGTTGACAAGACGTTCGCTTAGGCGCATGAGCCCACTCTCTCTACCTCTCGTTCTACTTGCGTGTCTCCAGTTGTCCTCAATTAAGCCAAGTATTTTATCTCATTTCATCAGGTCACTTGAGTGCCGTGATGGCTATGGGTCTACGCCATTCTTTCACACAGGATTCTTGGCAGGTGTTGTCGCTTGCATCTTCTGTGCTTCATGTCACAGTGCATTATTCGTTAAACAAAGTAAGTACAAAGTGTGAGTGATGTCAGTTGTAGTCAAATGCAACTAATGGTTTTAAGTATCAGGACTGCAGCAACTGTCAAAGCATTCCTTTATACCTAGTATGAAACTCACAAACCGCCACGGGCAAGAAAAATGGAAAAACATGAAGAAAAGAACATGAAGAAAAAGAACCTTGAGCATTAGCTTCGTCTCGACAACATCAGGGCGCTGTGGATGGCAAACAGCGCCCCGCCATAGCTGCAGTTGGCCAAGAGAGCTACGGCGACAGCGCCATCCTTGCCATGCTGCTCCAGGCCCTTGAGATGCTCGTCTACGGACTCGTCCAGCCAGCCGTTCCCGACAAAGTCAGCTCGGAACGTGACGTCCTGCACGGCCTCCTCCTGTGATGTAAACACACCACCAGCAACACTTCCCCATGCTCTCTAGATAGCCAGCAGCGTCCATCAAACTTACAGCTCAGACAAAAACAGGGGCTGGGCGACTCCATGTCGATATATGTCTAGGAGCTGGCTCTAGTGTTGACAGAATGCTCCACGAGCCGGACATGGCGTCCTTAGTGTGGCTGAGGTAGTAGATGGAGTCAGCTTGTTGTGACTACTGTCACTGGAGTTCTTGTTATTGTTTTAAGTACGACGGGGAGAGCTATGGCTGCCCATAGTCCCGGACTGAGTGTCGCCGCTATCAGCTTTGATCTCTGTACAGTTGTCAAGAAGCGTATAGCTATCCACTCGGTGACAAGTATGGTGTCTCTATCGACGGCATCAACCACATTGATCTCGTTCCGTTCGACCGCGGCCCCGTTGCTCTGCACGTCGGTGCCCGCCGTCTCGGTGTGCTTAGCGCCGGCGCCAACGTTGGGCGTCGTGACTGTATGCCGACAGAGCGCTTGAGTCCCTCCCTTCACCTCTGTTCTTAGCTGTGGTAGTGTCTGTCTCATCTTGGTCCACTGCAGAGTCTTTGGAGTCTTTCGTTGGCCGGGGTCCAGTGTCACTTTGCGTGCTTCTTCCCAGCTGTCAAGTGGGATGCTTCAGTCGCGGCGGACCCTCCTGGGACGGACTCGATCGGCGACCCGGAGCCGGTATCGGAGGAACCTGCTTCTGTCTCACCCCCTGACTCAGACTCGCCAGCTCGATGGTTTGACGAGGCCAAGACTGCCTCTTTGTGCTAGACCTAACCAGCTTACGAAGGCCAGCCTACCCAAGTTTTCTTGGGTTAGGGGCGCCGCAACTCGTGATGCTGCCGCACTCGGCCTACTCCTAGATCAGTATGGCAGGTCATTGGGGAGGGGCGACACCGAGATTGGCGGCCTCAGGTGAGGGTGTTAGATTATTTGACAAAACGGGGAGGGCAGTGACTCCCTGGGTGTCTAATTATAAAGACAATGGGACGAGACGTGTTTAGCCGCTGGCGGATTCAAAAATATTCAAAATCCCGAGTCTTAAGACCTTCACCGCAAAGCAACACTCTCGAGATTAGGTTGGCTTTAAAAGTCAGGGCCGTCAGGGTCGTTGCCTCGTCGGTTATTCATACACTAGACGCCCACTATGATGGCAACGTGGCGTATAGGTGCAGTTATTATGGTGGTAGACACAGTACCTAGAGCGTGGTAAAGCCAATTTTTACATTGCACTGGCTGGCTGTCGTCTATTGTAGACGTAGTCAAGGTAGTTAGAGCCTGTCTATTCTAAACGTAGCCCAATCAAAGGCATTGCTGTTGCCCCCTTTCTAAACCTATCTTACAGCACGTCCATCAATAAGGCAAACAGTGATATCAGCGGGAACAGCATCGCCGTTGCCGAGAACATGTTCGAGCTTTCTTCCACGGCCGCCAGATTCAAAGAAATTTACAAAGACAGCTAATTAAATGCCTGGTGATTACGTATACCGCCGTCGTATTCTAGAACTTCTTAGACTCTTATGAGCTGTCCGGCGAAGGCTTAAACACCATGTTCGATTTCATGTGTTTCTAAGTTTCACACTAGTATTTACTGTGGCATCAAGATTGAAACTGCTTGGAAGACACTGAGCTGTTCCGCGATCAACCAGCTGGAGAGCACTTGCAACCAGACTCGGTTTCGACATTACCAGCAGATGGGCCTTAACACATCATTGTTGAATCATTTTGCACGGATTAGCAGATAAAAGAGACAGGTGGTAAACAACCCCACCGAGAGCCTCAGTAGTCCCAGCCGTTCTACCTTCTTACTCTTCTTGCCTCTTGGGCATCGTATTACTTTAGTATTTAACAAGAATATCCTCGTATTCGCAGACTTGTTTTTTACCAAAATGTTCCAGAGGGAGCGCGATAATGTGATAATACCCTCCTACAGTGTCTTGCGTTACTCGAAAACGTAGAGGAGGACTCGGCATTCGCCGTCTTCATCAACAAGAGACCTCACCTTCGACTTTTACTAGTAGGGGGAGGTGGTCATGCGTCACGACAGCCCAGAGCTAAGAAACACAGAGTGTCGTTGTCGATGTCTCATTATTCTTATTATCTGCTGGCGGCGACTTCGCGAGGTAGCTTAGACGCAGTGGCGCCGTTGAGGTTGAAGAACTACTCCAGCCTGCGCCGTATCTACCTTCTTTTCGTGGCCCCTTCAAGGTCCAAGTATTAGCCAACTTCTTCGTCTCAGCGGGCCAGCTTCCCCTCCTGGCGCCAGCCGAGTGGAAGGTGCCGTCCCCTGCAGGTGTGGCGTCTGGGGCCGGAGCGACCGATGGCCCGCTGGCTCTGGACATGCTTCTTACTCCTTTGTTGACTAATTATGCCTTTGCAAGGAGGTTGAGAAGAGCTTCGTCTGAGCTTGACTCATGGGCCTAGTTACTCCCTACTTTTAGGTTTGGGATTCCATTGTTCTCATATGTCACTTGGGACGTCTGGATTGGATGAAGGGCAGCTTGCTTCTACTATTAAGCCAGTTATATATCTTTTTCCGGCCACTCTGCTACGAATTAAGGGGAATATACACGCTTTCACGGGACATGCGCCCAACGAGACTGGTGACTGTATTCCACGCAAATATCTTGCAAAACGGAAAGATAGCCTGAAAGGCCCAAGTGCAGACAGAGCCTCCGTTCCTTGGAAAAGGGGCTGGCTACCTCGCCCCACTAATTCTTCACGTAGCGACAAGAACACTTCGAGTATAGCTAGCTATATCTATCAACACACGCGAAACATTTCAGCAAGTGAGCAGCGGCCATGCCAGACGCCCGAGTCCATTGGTCTCGGCCTCCATCCAACCTTTCACCATCGCCCCCCACCCCTTTTCCCACCCACGGGGCTCCACCCATATCCATTGCCCCCTGCCCCTGGTTTGCGCTGACAGCAAACAAACAGCGGCGATGCTCTCAAACAAACCCAAGAGACATCCAAAGCACACACGGTACACGCGCTTCCCGCGTGTGGCGAGCAGAAGTGATCCGGTATGTGATATAGCCCCAAACCGTTACAGTCGATGCCACAAACTCTCTATTTACGTGCCTAGCGTAGTATCGTTATAGGACATACGTGGGGGGAGAGCGTGATCGGTACCATCAAACCAGACAGACGGGTACCTAAGTAAGGTAGTTTTCTAATCACGTTTCTGGAATATGTCGTCGTCCCCGGAAATAAAACCATCCCCGTCAGTTGGGCTGCGCCGTGTGTTAGAGCTTTACCTGTGTCGTCTCTATTGTGCACGGTGCCCCGTCTTTATCACATTGGGTCCATCTCTGGTATGTACATGTACATGGGCTCAGCAGCGTTGTGTCAAGTACCAACCCCCAGCTCCCCGGCTTCACATCGTATTTGCCTCTAACAAGAGACGTTCCGGGCAGTCAACAGCGCCACGGGTCAAGATGCCACGACCATCCCGGCCATCGCGACAATCATATAACCTGTCAACTACCCACCTGTCAACCGTATGCACTAGAAATAAACCAGCGTCGGACCGATGTAGGCGTCCCCCACAGTAGCGTAACGGCCCGTAGCGAAAAACCTTTCGGGGGGAGCCCAAGTCCGGAAGGAACCGAAGACGGATGCCGGCGCGCGCGCACGCACTAACAGTAGAAGATAAGGAGGGGGTTTCTACGTACATACATTCTCCTTTTACCCCACCGTATACGTTCACGGTCGTGGTTGGAGACCAAAAGGGGAACGACGAACATTACCTGTTTAGCTTTAAAAAGATGCCCAGCGCCGCGGGTAAATATGTTTTGCACCGCTACCAGAGAAGTATCGAATGCGATTCCAAGGACTTCCTCCACCCCTCCCGGCTTCCCCCTTATCCCCCTCCGTCACGTTCCGGGTTTGCCGAGCATTCAGGGGATAGGGCGCAGCACTAGCCCCCGTTGGGGTGTGTCTCCGAGATGTTGCTACCCTCACTCAGCACACGCTTCGCCCGGATTCTTTGAGATATTACGTGTAAAAGAAAATAATGTTGACCATGTTCGGAGCCTGTACCCCAAACCAGCAACGGTATTTCTGGACGATCTGACATTATATTTTTGGCCCGAAAAGTCTTTCGTAGTGTAGGTACCGGAGGCAAAGACGCGGCGAGATGGGTAGGGTGAGGGGTTGCTGACGACACGACGTCTTATTGCTGAAACATCACGTACCAAGCCCAACAATAAATTACTCCTTTGTTCTGTGATGTAATGCTGGCGGCCTTTGGGGATCCAAAGACTGAGCCCCCCAAAACTAGGGTACCAAGGCAGGCCATGTGCGCTCCCCTATCGGTTCCACATCGACAATGGCGTCAACTATATGCCACCCTGTCGCTAGTAGCCAGCTGCAACGTTGGGACGAGCCATGACCTCTTAGTCTAGCCAACCAGGCACTTGAGACGCTGGACTTGGTTCGAGTGGGGGACAACGAAGCTCTGTTCTCCCTAGGCTGGCCCGGCTAGAACTTTGACTACATTTAAACCATCATTCAACAGTTCTCCACACTGACATCTTGGTAGCTTGGGCCGGAAGGATCGGCGGGAAGGATATCGAACAGGCGAAGGAATCCGCGGAAAGGGCCAACCGGGGGTGGTTGATAGTACTAGTCCGGAGCACATTACAATAGATTGTTCTCAGACATGGCTGAGTGACAGTCACAAACAGCTCGATCAGGTACTGAATAAAGGGCCGACGCCATCTGTCGCCGCGTACGTCACACGGCGTGGGCGGGTGGGCGTCGGCAATTGCGGATTTGGGGATTTGGTGGTGAACTAGGCATTCCCATCGGCGGTGGTCAACGGCGGGCGGTGCTGGGGCGTCAGGGGACAGACCAGGCATGTGATGGGGATAATGGAGTGCCAGTGCCAAGATGCCGGCTGGCAGTGTGTAATCCGGGAAAGAGGCGCCATGGTTGACGGGGCGGCTGGGCCATCACTGGACGCCAAGTGTCAAGTGTGCAGAGGGCCGTGGCGGACAGGCACCAGGTACAGACAGGTACGGCCAGCCCGCCATGTTGGAGATGTAATTATAAGGACAGGCATCGCATAGTATACCCTCCCCTCCCTGCCTCCCCACTATGGAGCCGAGACACACACGGTCTGCGAGCCTGAACCGAGGCCATCGGCTTGCCGATTTCGATCACTCTCTCCCCCACGTTGAGCCGGCAATCTCTCAGTCTCTAAATGGTGGGTGCAAGACTAGCAACGAGCAATCATTGATGCCAGGTGCAAGGTGGGAATGTGTCTTGGTCGGGGAATCAGTGCGGGGCCGACCCAAAACATTCTTGCATCCCCATCTCTTGGGTGGCAGGTTCTAGGTAGGGTTCTTTCCTGCAATGTCTGGAAGCAACAAGGAAGGAGCGGTCAGCGGTTTCCATTGCGCGAGTACGGAGTAGGTGGCAAAACTCTTTCCAGGTAGGTTGCCAATAAGTTGAAATAATACTACCACCTCGTACCTGCCTAGAAAGGCATGTCAGGCGATGCTAGACACGATGGACTCGCTCGAGGTGTGTGT